GCGTGTGCATGTTTGCGTGTGTGTGTGTGTGTTTCTGCATACACACGTTCGTTCACGGGTCCTCCCCACCAATCTCTCATCACGTGTTGACTCTATACGAACCCCATGATACCAATCGGATGCCTGGAGGTGATAACAGACCTACATATGACATATAGTGTCACCGACCTTAATTCTATTGCATACTAATATAACAACACAACAGCAGACGAGACTGGTATTGCGTGGAGTCTACGGGAATTGCTGAGTTAAGCGGCAACGCCCGGGCAATGATTGGAGACTTCGAGATTGGAGACTTCGAGATTGGAGACTTCGAGATTGCAGAATCGTGTGTAAAGCGTCTTACATTAATAAAGAGCGGGGTTCGACGGGTGCACACAATGAACATTTGGCTTTTGTTGCCGAGGACGGGCTGTGTGACACCAGCCCGTCTTCCTAAGGTTTCCCAACCTCAAGAAACTGTCCTCTGTGCCGATAAAACTGATAAAGTGCCGTATCTTAACCTACCAGAGGACCCAAAACAGAAAACGGGACAATATGTCAACTTTGCGAGCCGCTACCATTTTCTAGTACGACGATTTTTGGCCTTAGGGAGAGTATACGTCAAGATGGGACGGTGTATTATGAGCGATCAGGTTGTTTATATCTGCCAGTGTGAGGTTCATGGCGGCCGAGCTTACTGGCTCAAGGGGGGACTTCTTTATTATTTAATAATAGTAATAATAAATAATAATGATAAATAATTATAATAATTATAATAATAATATTTATAATAATAAGATTTATAATATTAATTACGATAATAATAATTATAATAGTTAGTTTAGTTCATTTATTATGCACCCCATACCCATCTTGTGGGCGGTAGTGGAAAGGGTTACAGAGGCACATAATGGGCTCAGGGACTGAACCCAACAATTCATTTAGCTAAGCAAGTTACAATCTTGATGAACTAGTTACAAAATTCATTTAAGTCATCACATCAACAATGGGTTCGAGATCGACCTCAAGTACAGGTTCTAAATTAAGCAACTGACATATGTGGAGAGCTAGTGTCACAATTGATATGTTTGTCCTGCACACCGCCCCCCATCCAGTGGGCAGCGGTGGATAGGTTACACCGCCCCCCATCCAGTGGGCAGCGGTGGATAGGTTACACCGCCCCCCATCCAGTGGGCAGCGGTGGATAGGTTACAATCACTCAGTTACTACCTACAGTTAGCAAACTGGGAATATTTGGCTAAAATTTCTGGTAGCAGATCATTTTGAATGAAATATTTACACATCGTTGGAACATTGGTTATGGAATTGTCTCTAAATTCACGTATCTTTTCGCACTCCATCACATAGTGACGGAGGGTGTGCGAATAATTTTGTTGACACAGTTTACATTTGGTCAGGTCTACATCGGCAGATAATGAGAATTCCCAGAGATACTTGTAACCGAGTCTAAGCCGAGCAGTAGTAACATCTAGAAGTCTACTGATTTTATTGGATGAACCATAGATGTGTGGCTCCTCTTGCATGATAGTATGATGATAGATGGAATTACTGGCGTCAATTTCACTTTGCCTCAGATCTACAAAATTTGTTGAAGTTCTTGATGAACTATTGCTTTCAAACTGCTTGAAGGCAATCCAAGGTTATTATCAACTCCTTCTATGAAGGCAGATTTTTTGGCTAACTTATCAGCTCTATCATACATTCGGAGGCCAACATGAGATGGAGACCACATGAAATGGACTCTGTTACCATCATTAATAATTTTGTTGTATTTGTGTCTAGCTTTGGACACGAGCATGTTACAGTTATGTCTTAAAGAGTTGAGAGCATTTAAGGATGATAAAGAGTCACTTACAATTAATGTATCAAGTTTGGAGACTTGTACACATTTCAGTGCAAGGATCAAGGCAAATAGTTCGGTCTGAAGGGTAGAGGCCCAGTTGTTTATACGGACTCCCCACTCAAAGTACAAGCCTTCGCCCATTGTCAGGACAACTGCATTTCCAGCTGCACCCGTGGTGCGGTGTAGGGAACCATCAGTGTATATGATTTGAGAGAGAGAATGCTCTGTGGACAGAGCATCAATATGGCTTAAGGCGTTGAGCTTTGCCTCAAGACGAAGCTTGGGCTGATCTCTAATTTGCTTCTTGGGTGGAAAGTAATAATAATAACATTTATAATAATAATATTACAATTTTTTTTATAAACACATTTAGGTACATCTGCATTTGAGCAGCTCCCCTAGACTGTATGAAGGGAAGTACAGTGTGTTAAAAAGCTAGCTACGTGATGCTAAAAATCCCCATCACACAGGATGGTTAGATTTGAATTTAGATTTAGATTTTTTATTCAGGTAAAGGTACATACATTGAGTTACATACATAATGTTGGATTTAAAGATAGAGCTAGTACACACAATACCTATAGCCACTAGTATGCACGGCGTTTCGGGCAAGATGAGGGGGGGGGATGAAACACTTAGACTAAAATTTAATAGTAATTGAGCTTAAAGTATAAATTGTGTTGAAAAAAATAAAAATAATAAAAAAGGGGGGGGGACAAGGCAGAGAATAACAATTTTACAAGTTGGTCAACAAACAGCATTATTACAATAGCAAGACATGAGTTGACAATAGAGGGGTAAGGTAGGTTACATGGAGTTTATTAGGTAGTTTTTAGTTTTTATCTTAAACTGGTTGAGAGAGGTACAGTCTCTGACATGATTGGGAAGGTCATTCCACATTCTGGGTCCTTTGATTTGTAGAGCATTTCTAGTTTGATTAAGTCGTACTCTTGGAATATCAAATAGGTATTTGTTTCTGGTGTAGTGCCCATGGGTTCTGTTACAACCTTCTAAGAAGCTTTTAAGGTCATGATTGACATTACAATTCAGAGTTTTAAAGATATAGAGTACACATGAGAGAATGTGCAGTGACTTAGTATCTAACATATTTAGAGATTTGAGTAAGGGTACCGAGTGATATCTGGGGCCAGAGTTAGATATTGTTCTAATAGCAGCTTTGTGTTGAGTAATCAGAGGACGTAAATGATTTTGGGTAGTAGAACGCCAAGCACAAATACCATAATTGAGATAAGGATAGATGAGGGAGTAATAGAGCGTCACCAGGGCAGGGCGTGGTACATAATATCTGATCTTAGAAAGAATGTCAAAAGTTTAGAAACTTTTTTGCAATATTTAGAATGTGTCCCTGGAAATTCAGTTTGTTATCGATGAGGACACCAAGGAATTTGCCATCAACTTTGTTACTATGGGTATTGTTTATTCTTAGATTAATTTCATTTGAGGATTTATAACCAAACTAAATATAGAAAGTTTTGTCAATGTTAAGGGTGAGTTTGTTAGCAGTTAGCCAAAGATGGACTTTATTTAGTTCAGTATTCACTGCGACATTTAAAGCAAGAGGGTCAGGACTGGAGTAAATGAAGGTTGTGTCGTAAGCAAATAAGATTGGTTTGAGGTGTTGTGAGGCATTTGGAAGGTCATTGAGAAAGAGGAGAGGGCCAAATGTAGAACACCAATGTTATGGGTAGGGTAGTTATATATATATATATATATATAACTTTGATATATATATATATATATATATATATATATATATATATATATATATATTTATATATATATGGGCTAGTTATACAGAGGCACGTGATAAGCAGTCTGCACTGGCAGACTCTGGGTGCATTATGAGGATATCATCAACACAAGAGTGAATAAGGTAGAAGTGGTACCGTGTCCCCATCTCGCAGGATGGTTAGTCATACAGAGCCATATGTTCAGTAGCCTCCACTGGCAAATTTTGGGTGCAATATCAGGATATTTTCAAGAACACGAGAGTGAATAAAGTAATTGCAAAGCTCCAGGCACCTCATGCCAACTGGTCTGAAAGGTCTAATAACTGGGCATTCAGTGATGTAGTGTGGGAGATCATGCCGCAGTTCCTGCTCACAGAGTTTGCACCTGGAGTGCTCAGGATTGGGAGATCCGTCACCTGTAGCCACCTGCCACAGGTAACGGTAACCCAACCTGATCCTGGCAACCACTGAGTCGCACAGTCTGGTGGACGTTTTGTGCTGCCCATAGATATAGGTTTCAGATCTGAACAAATCATAGCTTGTTATACTAGTGCTTTCAGGTCGTTGGGAGTCAGTAAGTTCTTTCCTATCAGACCTGAGTGTTTGGACCAATACAGTTTTGACAGCAGAGATGGGGATACCTGGATCTAATTCAACTTCATCTTTGTTACACGCTAATTTGGCTTCAATGTCTGTCTCATTATGATAGGTTATATTTATGTGTGAAGGTATCCATACAAAGGAAATTCAAAACCCTTTACTCTTTGCAGCGATTAGGTCATTTATAATTGGTAGTATGAGGTTCTTGCTGTCGATCTTCCAGAAGTTTTGGATTGCTTGAAGAGCAGACTTTGAATCACAAAATATTATTCCTCCTCCAATGTTTTTTAATGTACTGGTAACTAGTTGTAGTGCTGCTAGTTCTGCTTGTGTGGAGGTCAGCCAGTTGTTTAACCTGACACTGACAGTCTTTGTGCAAATATTATTTCTATAAAACCTACATGCTGCTGCAGTCCGTCCAGTAGAAGACTGGACTGAGCCGTCGGTGTAGACACAGTGCTCGTGAGATCTTAAACTCTCGATGGAGGAGGCAATTGTTTCAAGTGTGACAGCTTTGAGAAGAGCAAGATTCTCATTATCTTTCTTGGTGACAGGTGTGTATGATACTTGAATGGTGGGGTACAGATAAAGAGGAATATCAGAGACAGGTAGATTGCACTTAAATGGAATGTTGAGTTTGATGAGATTGTTGGCATTGTTGCTCAGCCAATTATCATAAAAGGAGTGAGTTGGTATGTCGGCACCAGTCAATAGGGTGTTACCAGTTTATTAGTTCATTTATTATGCACCCCATAACCATCTTGTGGGCGGTAGTAGAAAGGGTTACAGAGGCAAATAATGGGCTCAGACAACAGCATTAAATAATTTGTCTCTATATTATAATATTTTTTTTATTTTTTATTAATACATGAGGTACATCTTCATTAGTGTAGCTACCCTAGAGGCCTAGACTATATGAAGTGGAGTAGTGTGTCAAATAATTTATTTAAACTCTATGGATTGTGCACACTACATTTCATATCCATCGACTTCATGTGCTGGCAATGGAGCCAACTATCTTTAAAGAATGCAATAGGGCCGACCATGACCCACCCACGAGAGGTTCATGACCCCCACCAGTCACACTCCAAAGGTTAATGAGGTTAGCCCCAAGCGTCTGACCAATCTTAGACAAACATCCTTTTGTACATAGATGAAAATGATGTTTAGTTAAATAAGTTACCCCCATGTTCCTTACAGTGTGGAGCGACCGTAGCTCGCAGTGTTGTGACGGCCGTGCTGGCCGCCTCTGTCCTGAGTACTGTCACCCTCAGTGCCCTCGCTGGTCTCGGACTCGGTGAGTACCTTCTGTGATGTATAAGTAACTTTGACCGACTTGTACATTAAGACGACTTTGCGGGATTTATATATGTTTAATATATATAGTGTGTGTGAAAATGAATGATAAGTGTAGTAATGTTATACAGCTGATATTTTGTGTTGGCTGGAGCGTCCACATGAATGCTTCATCAGCTGCCATTATTGTTGTTGTTGTTGTTGTTGTGTTAGATTCAGCTACTGGCAACAACAACAAGTTCCAAGTAGCACGGTCTATGGCGAGCCCGAAGCAAAAGTTACAAATTATATTAATATTAATAACAATAATTACTCTTAATTTATAAAATACATTTGAGGCATTATACAAAGGAGAATACTTAGGTAGACAATTGATGTAATTATATAAAGCCACCAATATGAAGAGTTCTAAAATAGTATAAATAGGTATATTATTTATTAAAAAATTTAATAGGGCAAAACAATAATAAACGAGAAGCTGACATACATGACTTGTTGAAGAAATTTATAATAATATACAGTATACTTATATCTATATATATATATATATATATATATATATATATATATATATATATATATATATATATATATATATATATATATATATATACTGGAGGCCCTCAGATGCTATGTATATGCAGCCCATCCTCATGTTTACGTAGCACTTATAATAACGATGATGACCATAGTACATATATTGACATAAAAGGCAATTACAAAGTATAAATCGGTACTGTTGATTTTGGACAAACCGGAAAAGGTTTTGTATTTATGTTGTAAAGGAACATAAATACAACATAAATGTATTTATGTTGCAATACCTAGTCTAACCTTCCTAGGCCTAATACACACTATATGAGGCCTAGTATAGTACATATATATGTGTTATACTAGGCCTAGGAATATTTAAGTTTGTTTTATAGCTTTATTTTGTTCCGACTCTATAAAGTGAATAGTACCAAATTCTAGCATGTAATAGTCCATTACATCTGTGTCAACCATCCTCCTGTTTGGCCAGTACCTTTTGTAACTATGTGCACCACAGTACACACATTAACACTAATTATATAGTAGAACTTTGTACTATTTACTTTATAGTCAGAAAAAATAAGCAAATAAACATGCTTAAATATTCTTAGGCCTAGTAAGGGAAATTTAGAAAGTGTTCTTGTGGTCGATCTCGAACCCATTGTTGATGTGACGACTTATACTGAATTTTGTAACTAGCTCATCAAGATTGTAACTTGCTTAGCTAAATGTATTGTGGGGTTCAGTCCCTGAGCCCATTATGTGCCTCTGTAACCCTTTCCACTACCGCCCACAAGATGGGTATGGGGTGCATAATAAATGAACTAAACTAAACTCTTAGGCATATTATAGCACACAAATATACACAAACACATGTGTACTAACTGTCAGGATACTGGGCCTGACGGCTGAGTGCACAGCGCTCGGGATTCGTAGTCCTAAGGTTCTGGGTTCGATCCCGGCGGAGGCGGAAACAAATGGCCAGAATTTATTAAACCCTGATACCCTATGTTCAACTAGCAGTAAATAGGTACCTGGGAGTTAGACAGCTGCTGCGGGCTGCTTCCTGGGGATGTGTAACAAAAAGGATTCCTGGTTGAGAACCGGGCCGCGGGGACACTAAGCCCCGAAATCATCTCAAGATAACCAATATACTATATTAGGCCTCAGATAGCGTGTATTAGGCCTAGGAATGTTAGGTTAGGTTAGTTTAGTTTGTTTTTACAACATAATTAGAAAATATTTTCCGGTCTGTCCAAACTCAACATGTACGAGATCTACTTTCTAATTGTGTTGAAGATGGGTATATGTACCATGGTCCTCGCCGTTACTATAAGTACTCACACAACAGGACGACGAGGGGCGCTATACTCAATAACACTCTTATTTCAATATCAAAGATATGCAATTAAGGTAATAATTCATCAATATTGTTTCTTGCCATCTCAATTATCGTATATTACACGGTGTTTGATTTTATCGGTATGTTACCTATATATAACACTTTGAAGACACCAAGTTTTGTTCATTCCTATTAAAATAAACCACAGCCCCCCCCCCTCCCCCCTCCTGGCTTTCCAACATAATCCCCCCGATTTTTCATATTCATTTAAGTTAAGAAAGTGTATAAATCCACAAGGGCCGTGACAAGGATTCGAACCTGCGTCCGGGAGCATCCCAGACACTGCCTTAATCGACTGAGCTACGACAGGGTTAAAAAAAGTTGAAACCGAAGTTCTACTGAACTTACTGGATCCTGCAGCCTCTCCGAGGCACAAACCACGATTTTACACAACTCCCCCCTGCACCCGAGCTGTCAATAGGCCGCTCTCCCTCATCGCCCTTACTTCGGCCCTTGTGGATTTGTTCATTTGATGCATCACGTTAGTGTGATCTCTGTGTGTTGAGAAAGTGTGATTGTTTAGCATGACTAAAAGAATATTTGTATTTTTCAGTTCCTTTCAGACACTCAACTGCCAGTGTGTCTGCCACACTGGCCACCTGCGTCACCCCGGCCGCCTACACCTTCAGTATCTGGGCCGTCATTTACACGGCTCTTGTCCTCATAGTCATGTATGGTACTGTAGTACATTATAACCTTTTACCTGTTATATTAGCTGTACTTTCTCTGTAATAGTTTTGAAGTGGGAATTTTATACTGTACAAGTGATCTGAGTGAAATGTTGTAATATATGTGAGTTGACTACATACTTCTAACAAGTGGGAGCGGCAGTAAAAATAATCAAGTGTACCATTGACTTTAAGGAAAATAATGTAGTCGTTCAACTGTATAAATCTCAGGTCCGCCTCCACCTGGATTACTGCATCTAGGCGTGGAGCTTCAGAAAGACACAGCTTCACTGGAGAAAGTGCAACACCGGGCAATAAAAATAGTTCCAGAGCTACGTCAACTCTCATGCCAGGACAGGCATGTCCCTTGCGCCTTCAGCCTGAAGTCTCCAAAGGAATTTATTGACTTACTGCGGGGCACACGGGCCACAGGGATAAGAGCCTCGTTGGACGTAGAATCATTGTTCACCAACGTACCTGTGGACAAGACAATCGGGATGATAGCCGACAGAGTGTATCGTGATCCAGCCTGTACTCCTCTTGACATACCAGAAAATATTCTGAGGAAACTACTCCAAGCTTGTACTAAAGAGGCACCCTTCTTGAGCCCGGATGGGCACATATATAAGCAAGTAGATGGGGTCGCCATGGGTTCTCCCCTCGGTGTCCTGTTTGCAAACTTCTACATGGGTACCATCGAGCAAAAAGTCTTAGTCGACATGAACTTGAAACCGGCCATATACTGCAGGTATGTTGAAGACATTTTTACACAGGTACCTGATGTCAGACATCTGCAGGAGCTGAAGGAGGCGTTTGAGCAGAGTTCCATGCTGCGTTTCACTTACGAGATGGAAAAGAATGGGAAGCTGCCCTTTCTAGATGTAACAGTCATGGAAAAGAGCGGAGGTTTCCACACTGCAGTCTACACTAAGGAAACGAGCATAGGAATGTGCCTAAATGCCAACAGCGACTGCCCAGACAGGTACAAAAGGAGTGTTGTTAACGCATATGTCGACCGTGCTCTCAGCCACAGCTCAGAATGGAAGCAAGTCGAAGAACTCTGTAGGGTAAGGCAGGTCCTAGTCAACAACGGCTTCTCCAATGGTTTCGTCGAAGACATCATAAGAAGGAAAGTGAAACACCATGCAACCTCTGAAGAGACAACTAACACAACACCTATACCCCCTATTAGACTATTTTACAAGAACTTCTTTTCCACAGCTCATAAAACGGAGGAAAGGGTCCTGAAAGATATTGTTAATAGAAACGTTATCCCTACAGACAAAAATCAGAGGATACAACTGACGATTTACTATAAAACCAGAAAAACGGCCAGCCTACTCATGAGAAACTCTCCAGACACAAAGCAGAACGCTTTAAAAGAGACCAACGTCGTCTATGCCTTCAAATGCCCACTTGGGGACTGTAAGCTCCAAAAAACCCAGTATATAGGCAAGACAACAACATCTCTTTCTAGGCGTTTAACGATGCATAAGCAACAGGGCTCCATTAAGGAACATATAATCTCTTCCCACAACCAAACCGTCGCCAGAGAAATCCTAGTAAACAACACAGAAATCATCGATTGATACAGCGATAGCAGGCGGCTTGACGTTTGCGAGGCACTACACATTAAAAAGTCAACACCAGCAATCAACAGCCAATTAATGCACAACTATATTCTACCCACCTCAAGACTCCGCTCCAATATAGAAGCATCAAGAAATATGGACCAATAGGCTTTCTACAATCACTTCCATTCAATACCCATTGTTTCGTGTTCTGTCTTGTGTTGATGAAATTAATACCCTATTAATGCCACCTCACCCCATCCACCTCACTCAAATGTAGATATAAACAAAATCGGAGATGTGTAAGTTCTATTCAGTTGTGTATGTGTAAACTAAAGTCTTTGAAAATGTAATAAGTTTTACGAAACGCGCTCAAGTGTCGCGTCAGACTAGAAATAAAAATGAATTTTGGAGAATTGATTTTTGAATTACCACCAACAGTGAAAAGAAATGTACGAAAGATAGAGAAAATTCGTGTTAGAATTATTAATCTTACTTTTTCGGTCATATTTAATAATATATGTCTACAGGAAAGACTGCTACCAAAATATACTAATATATATATATATATATATATATATATATATATATATATATATATATATATATATATATATATATATATATATATATCACCTTAAAGGGGTGAAGCTAAAAAACTGAAGGTGAACACCTAATACTAAAGGAGAAGTAAGCTAACAAAACGAGAACGTTCATGGATAATAACAAATGAATGCAAAACAGTTGATACTTAAGGATGACAGGCAGAGACTTTTACATTATGGAGACTGTACATGTAGCAATAGTCCAGTAGTTTATTTACATTAATAACATAATGGCAACACAAGTTATAGTTTAGAAAAACAACTGGACTCTTTCTCATAACATTTTCTTTGGAACATAACAGAGCATAGAGTAATATAGTAATTTAATGGGGCCAACACTAAAAGTAAACAAGGACGAGTCAATACTTTAACAAAGAAATGCAAGAGTAGTGATTGCGTTTGGGAATAATGATGCCTGGGGTGGGTCCGTGGGTGTATTTTTTGTGTTAAAGTGACGGGATGTCTGGGGTGGATGTAGCAAGCCGCTTGCTGTGTTTACTAGAGTATGGGGTTAGCAGTGCGAGATATTCTTTACATTTTCTATGTTGGCTGGAATGGTGCTGGCTACTATTTCAGGAGAAACTGTGGAGGTTGGATTGTTAGGTGGCATATGCAACCCGTCGTCTTACAAGTTACGTCGCTTCTCGCTCGTATGTGTACTCAAGCTAAAAATGCAACATGTCATCTTACAAATTGCGTCTGAATTTGGCCGTTTGCCCGTATGGTCGAAAATAGACGTAATTTGAAAATGAAAAATAATTGAAAATATTTTTTTTTTTGTCCAAAACAGCAAGTTAAGGGTTCACTGGCAGGTTAGGAGAGCAGGAAGTTTCTTAAGGTTTCAAAAGGTCATGAAAACCATTAATTGAAAGTTTACTCTCCTAACCTCCGTGGTGACTAAGCAGTTTCCGTGGTGTAGTGGTAAGACACTCGCCTGGCGTTCCGCGAGCGCTATGTCATGGGATCGTATCCTGGCCGGGGAGGATTTACTGGGCGCAATTCCTTAACTGTAGCCTCTGTTTAACGCAACAGTAAAATGTGTACTTGGATGAAAAAACGATTCTTCGCGGCGGGGATCGTATTCCAGGGACCATAGGATTAAGGACTTGCCCGAAACGCTACGCGTACTAGTGGCTGTACAAGAATGTAACAACTCTTGTATATATCTCAAAAAAAAAAAAAAAAAACCTAACCGAGTAATGAGAAACGCCCGTAACGCTATGCGTGCTAGTGGCTTTACAAGACTGTATAATATATTAACATTGTGCACATAGAGGTATAGGGTAGGTTAGGTTAGGTGTTTAGGTTCTGTTGGCGATTATTTGTATTTAAAGTACGTGGGTGAAGCATTTACAGTGTAACGTACGGTTATGTTACGTTGTTGGGTAGATTAGATACACAGTGTTTAGTGAGTTTCATATTTATTTAGTAGTCCTGGATACAGCAGTGTCGTAGACGTTGAGACAGAGCTTGGAGCAGAGCAGAGAGCTGAGTGTGGCCGGAGTCGCGGAGCTCTATGTGGGAGAGCGTTGTAGCTGGATACGGTCCTAGTCTGCTGTCTGTTCTGTGTCGAAGCTGTTGCGTCTTGGAGACGATTAGAACTGCCTACGCCGAGTGCTACATTCTTGACTAGAAATTGTACTGTTGTCTATTCGATTGATTAAGATTAAGCCATCTAAGAGGTGGCACGGGCATGAATAGCCCGTAAGTGGTGGCCCTTATGAGCCATTACCAGTATCAAAAGATGATACTGGAGATCTGTGGAGGTGCGACTGCACCCTGCGTGAAGGGAGATGTCTCCCGTGTGGTTGTCTATTCTCATATCGCTTCCTTATATTTGATAACTATCCCTCACCTTTCTCTACTAGGATAGGAGGATGTGAGAACTGTTACCTGTAATTAGGGATAGGATTATAGCTTGTGTAGTTAGTGCTAATTAGTTATGCCATTAAGATAATGAGATAATGTAGCGAGTATAAAGATTACTCGCTATACAACCCGTCTTCGACTCAAGTCCATTACATTCAGCGGTCAACCCCACAGACGCATTCATATATTTTAATATGTTGTTCATTCAAAACGGGAATTTTCTCAAGTATAAATTAATATTATAATATATTGGCATATTGTGTATATATAGGCATAGGATAGGTTAGGTCAGGTGTTTAGGTTCTGTTGGCGATTATTTGTATTTGTAGTACGTGGGTGAAGCATTTACAGCGTTGTGGTTCGAACAAAATTCGTCAGTGAAGCACTTGTTCCGGATATGTTCGAACGTCAGCAGTTGTGAGTCGTGTGTAAACCGTTTTTCATTCATAAGCAGGGGGTTTGGCGGGTACATGGAATCACTTTTGGATCTTTGGAGGACGGGCTGCGCTATAACAGCACTGTGGATCGAACAAAATTCGTCAGTGAAGCACTTGTTCCGGAAGTGTTCGAACGTCAACAGTTTTGGGTCGTGTGTAAACAGTTTTCCATTCATAAACAGGGGGGTGGGGTGGGTGCATGGAATCACTTTTGGGTCTGTGTTTGGTGGACGGGCTGGAAAGTGACGTACTGTCTCATTTTCTGTTTTGGGTCCTCTGGCTTAGGCTGTTAGGTTAAGAGGGGAAACTTTCAATTAATGGTTTTCATGACGTTTTGAAACCTTTTATCCTCATTAATTAACAAACCTGCCCAAAATGCTATGAATGTTAGTGGCTTTGCAAGAAAGTAAAAATACCAACCATATGTAATCTCTCATACCCATTGTATCTTCTTGTAAATAATAATTATTATTATTATAACTTTTCACAATAAAATCAACTGCAGAATTTACCTAATTTCCATTAACTTCCTTTTAAAGTTGCGTTTCTCAGATTTCTCCTTTTCCATTCTTTTATAGGAAGTAAATATACAGTACAGTATTTATTTTCTCCTAATTCTTACCTGTTAATATATTTTATTTCCTCCTGGTTATATTTTATCAATAGCCTGTTCTTGCCTGAGAGGTCCCATCCTAGTGACCAGTTTTCATTCCATATCATTCTATAGTTTTCTGAGTGTATCTGCCAATTGTTTTGCCTCATTCAGTGTTGACCTTAAGGTGCAATTGTTCTCTTTCTTATACTTAACAATATATATATTGTGACGGGAAAGTGTAGGAGTGTAGATGTTCGGCAGTCCTCCTAATGGCTGGTGTCAATGTCTGTCACATTTACAAAAAAAAAAAAGAGACTGCTTGACTGTTGTCTGTGGTAGAGTAAGGGAAGACACGCAAAACACATAGTATGAACAATGAAACTTTAATTAACTGGAAATCAAATTTAAAAACAAAGACAATCCCTTGGCTATGTACAGTGCAAACAAACAAGTCATAAAAATTAAGAGCAGAGATAAATTACTCTGGATAAATTAGTGCAAACAAACAAGTCATAAAAATTAAGAGCAGAGATAAATTACTCTGGGAATAATATAAAGACAAAATGACATAGACAGGTGCTGAGAATATAGCGCTAGCTGGGAACCTCCACCAATAAACAGGACGTGTATCAGTTGGTTGTTCACAACTTGAGAGCACAAGGATATTCTGACTTCAATGGCCGATTCAAGCCCAGACATCGACTTAGGTAGAGGGCGCTGAGGTGCAAGTGTGCAGGTGTGCAGACGGCGGGTCACCAATCAGAAGCAGGCAGGCTGGAATGGTAGTTTGCTGGTTGACGATGGGCGAGCCGGCATGGAGGGAGTGTGGAGTGGGGGTTTAGGGTACGTTTTGCCTCCTGGTCAAAACGTTTTGTGCTACTGGTAGACGTATCTTGAAGGTAGCATCTTATTCTTGTATATGTGTAAGTAACTTTATGTAGGGAAGAGCAGGCTCAATCTCTCTTGAAAGAGATTATCGTCACAATATATATACAGGTAACTCATTACAGTTTACTAATATATTTTGGCATTTTGATCTTTCTCAGTCCCTCCCTGTATATTTTTTTTGCAGCGATTGCTTTGTTGTTTCTGAAAGTGGGTGAGGTGAAGGCATGGAGGCTCGGAGGTGCAGTGCCCACCTCGTCCCTGCTCACATTGGTCATCAGCCTCAACCTCATTGTTGGATGGCTCTTTGCCTGGGATGCCATCGATGTCACAGGCTCGTCCATCATCCTCTGGCTCATTGCAGTGTCTAGTGGCATTGCAGTGTCCTTAAGTGCCAACAGGTGAAGATAAAAAGCCTCATGTGAATTATGGTTTGTGTAACATATGACAGGAATTGTGCACCAGTACTGAATGACAAGTTAATTTAAAAATACAGTAAATATCCTTGGGTTCATGTTCCTACTTTACAGCTTTGCGAAAGATGCTCCAAGTCTTTATAAAAAATCCAAGTTTCACTTCTGGTCTGGGATTTTGGTTATCAATGGCCTAGCACTTTATAACACCTGGACTGCCATTGCTGCCATCATCAGTCGCAACATTTTCTACGAGTATGAGGTCAGTGAAAGTGTTTATATTATAGCACAAAAAATATGCAGGCCAAACTTATCTTAGTCATTTAAAGTACTTGCTTATTACCACTCGCTAAAGTGATGTGTTATATATCCTGCAGTGGTTGAAAAGCCTGCATTTCCAGCATTGTTCAGTAAAATGACACCAAAAAATCACCAAAGCATCTACATATCGAGTAACTGCTCACTGACTCAGACCTCAGTAACTTGAACATCCAGATCATTCTGGCAAAACTGAGGACAAGTTTGAGCAATGCTTCATTTGGACTAATATCTAAATTAGAGTACTATATGTGGCTTCAATGATTCGATCCATGCGGTTCACCCCTCATATGTAATGCAACAATATAATAATAATAATTCATCGTGTCTGGGGGACATGAAGCCAGTGTGTTCATAAACGTTAGGCTTTTATTTATATTTTATTTTCTTACATTTTTCTTTAATATAAACTTAGATCACTTTCAGCCAACATGTTTACATGCTACATGTCTAGTATCATTAACTGCACTTAAAATGGAGGAGTTCAAAGGATGCAAGTTTCTCTATTAGGGATAAGCTTCGAGTCACCGAACTTTGTGAGGTGTGAAAGCAAAACTCACACCATGCCTCTGTGAGTCTTGCGAAAGAATTCAGGAAAGGCACAAGTACTGTCGGATATTTGTAACAAAAAATGAGAGAAATCCTTACAGCATATCAATAGTGAGAGTGAGGAGGCAAGTACAAGTCGAGATCGTAGCAGGAAAATGTTGAAGTATTCACATTATTCACAATTAGAGAAAGTGGCTTATACATCATTGCACAGTGGGTGTGGGAATCTGTGGTGAAGGTATGGAATGCTGCAGGCAGGTTTGCAGTCAGCTTAAGGATAACTGAATTAAAGGCAAGTGATTGCATGATTTAAACAAAGGCACAACACAGCCAAGAAGAAGCTTGTTGATGAGTAAGCAATTTTCAAAGGCGTCGCCAGACCAGGAAGTTTATGTAGCACTTGATTGTTGGTGAATTGATGAGTGCAAATCAGAACAAAGTTGAGTCCTTCAAGAATAAAAATACATGATTTACACAGCACAGACTTCTCCCTTAGATGGTTTCATGATGTTTCGTAAAGAAGTTAAGGAACATAAAATCAAGAAACATGGAGTAAGGCCAGTCATAAAATTTGTACCCATACTGCAACTTTTTTTGTAATTATGTTCCTGATTTATTAAGCATTCTCTCCTATTTATTGTGTATTTATCCCCTTTGACCTGATAGATTGACCTGAATAGCAACACAATTTGCCTGTTTGAGCTAATCATCCTTCTGGCACTCTTCGTTGGCTGGTTCATACTAGAGAACACAATCCTCATACTGTATGCCAACCCTCTCATCATCCACAACATGGGTAAGTTCAACTCACAGTAACACTGGAATTTCAACAGCACAGTTTAGTTTCTCATTTATGCACCTTTCTTTATTGCCCTCAAGCTTGTGAAGAGCAGAATTATTTGTACTGTATTTAGACATTCTTAATAAATAATTTGATTTGAATACTCTACCTCTCACTTTAGGCTAGAGTTTAGCTGCATTTAACTAACCAAATTTACCCAATGAATCTTCCCACAAAATTTCCGATTTATTAAAAAAAAAAAGTCCGGACGCCATATCTTCTAAAATTATTAATTAAAACTCTTTCCCCAAGACATTTCATAAGTAAAAATTATCAGTAAAAAATTGAGCTTAAGACATGGGAAAAATTAGATGGGCCTGTTTGAAAAGGGTATGTATGCCTAGTTTAAATTTTGTAAGTTCTAGAGTGTGTCACTACTACGGAGTGTTGTAGTGAAATATGTGCCTACGACTGTGCGCGCCATCGAAGAGAATCTCGGGGATCGAACTCGGTTATAGTCAAAAGTGGGTGGGGGAGTCCGTAGATTGGGACAGGTGTCGACGCTGGGGTAAAAATGAAGTCAAAAGTGCGTGTGTAAGGTCTGTAGATTGGGACAGGCGTTGTTGCGGGGGTAAAATGAGTGTAAGGGTAAGAGGGGAAGGTATGTTGAGGGTACAGAGGGGACCCCCCCCCCACCTCTCCCATGGATGGGGGAGGGTAGGAGATCGAGCTTTTATGATGGGTGGTTAGGTCACGGCATATGAAGGGGGAGGGAGTAGAGAGGGGAGGTAGGTGGTAGCTTTGACTGATATGGAAGGTCTTTTATTGTCGTCTCTGTTTTATGTAGTGAAGTGTATATATATTTTGCCAATTTCTCTGGTATGGGACAGTAGTGTGTCCATGAGGACTCACTACTCTCAGGAAAGCAACAGAGTAGCCTACGCCGTCTGCAGACTTGACCCATCGGTGAAGACGGAAATGGAGCGGGAGTGGAAAGAAAAGTGTTCAAGGAAAAAGCATTTCAGAACTGTAGGAGGGGTAAAAGCTTTAGTTACGTGGATCAGGGCTTTACAAAATTTAGGAAAGGGGGGGGTGTACCCTCCACGGGGGCAAAGACGGAAGGACACGAGGAGAAATATTAGTAACACGAACCGAAAGAGCATCCTGTAAGCGGGACAACCGTAGAGGAAGAGGGAGGTGGTGAAGGGGAACAGGAACCACAGGAGGGGATAAAGGTCAAGGCACAACATAAGCAATAGTGAGGGTGTTGTAAGGACCGTGCAAGGTAGCGAAAACAGTAGCGATCATGGCGGTCCTGTAGAGACAGGTCGCCAGTTTCAACATACATGGTGAGGGTAGGAGTTGAATGAAAGGCACCAGAGCCAAGGCGTAACCCAGTATGGTGCAAAGCATCAAGACGGCGAAGAGTAGAAGAGGCACACAAGTAAGCAGGGCAACTATATAATCGTGCTTCGACAGACCAAGAGAGGAATGCAAAGAGAGGTGCGTGCGCCTATCAGCTTCCCAAGAAGTATGGGACAAGACCTTAACCCTTAAACTGTTCTGGGCTCTTCAACACCCATAGGCAAAAAAAATATTTCGTCTTATGAAAGTGTTCATTTGTGTTCCCTGATCACGGGTAAAAATCGTAGGTGACACATTTTGGCCGTAATAGGTTGAGGAAGTCTGGCAACAGTGAGGCGTTGACAGAATAATCGTTACAGGTGGCCAGTTCCGCCCGAGCTGTCAGCAGGAATTGCCACAAAGATATTATTATTTCAATGTCTCTGATTGATTTCTTAGTATTTTTGCAGTAAAATTATCCAATAGTGTGTAGTGTGATATAATAAAATGTGTGAACCATCGCTATACTCAAAAGTATTGTGAGCACATTAGTGACTCAATTATTAAGTTCATAAAACAATAAACAAATAGTTTTGAAATACACAAGTTATATATAAGTTTCTGCATGTTTTGTTTACCATAATGAACCACTAAGTTGGTATAGTGAGTCAAAGAGCAACGAGGAGTGGCGCAGCCCCAACATGGTGTGGAAGAATGACGGTGCCAATGCTGGCATTTAATTGGACATTTTTGGAGATCTGAACCGGGGTCTTATTAATGCAGGACAAAGCAGTTATTTTATTTATTTATTTATTTATTTATTTATTTATATACAAGAAGGTACATTGGGTTTGTGAGAATACATAGCATGGTGTTTACAGTCTTGTAAAGCCACTAGTACGCGCAGCGTTTCGGGCAGGTCCTTAATCTAACAGATAATTTTAAGTAGGTAAGTTCTAGCGGAATTAATAAAATGATAACAGATACATTGCAAGAAAGAAAAAAAAGGAGATGAGAAAGATTAGTAGGTATATTATAGCACATTGGTATATTAAAGCTCTGGTTGATTTCATTGACAGCTTGATTGGTAATTTAAACAAAGATTAATAGGCACCATACAGCAAATTGAAAGCACATATAAGAAGACAGCAATGATTACAATGGTAAAGTCGTTTGGATTGGGTACATGAAGATTGGGAGATTGGGTAGTATTAGATACAGTGCAATTTTAAAGCAACAAGGTAAAAAACTATGAAGATGAAATTAGGTACTTTTTAGTATTGTTTTTGAATGACGCAAAAGTTGGACAGCTTTTCAATTCATTAGGGAGTGAGTTCCATAGACTGGGTCCCTTTATTTACATAGAGTGTTTACACAGATTAAGTTTGACTCTGGGGATATCAAAGATATATTTATTTCTGGTGTGGTGATAATGGGTCCTATTGCATCTGTCCAGGGAGAGTTTCAGAGCAGGATTTGCATTTAAGAACAGGGTTTTGTAAATGTAATTGACACAAGAGAATTTGTGGAGTGAGATTATGTTTAGCATGTTTAGGGAGTTAAACAAGGGGGCTGAGTGTTGTCTGAAAGCAGAATTTGTTATTATTCTGATAGCAGATTTTTGCTGGGTGATGATGGACTTGAGGTAGTTTGCAGTGGTTGAACCCCATGCACAGATACCATAATTAAGATAGGGATAGATTAGTGCATAATATAGAGAGATGAGAGCAGAGTTAGGTACATAATATCTGATTTTGGAGAGTATACCAACTGTTTTAGAGACTTTCTTAGTTATGTGTTGTATGTGGGTACTGAAGTTGAGTCTCTTGTCTAGGAATAGGTCAAGAAACTTTCCGTCATTTTTATTGCTAATGTTTACATTATCTATCTGAAGCTGAATTGCATTTGTTGATTTGCTTCCAAATAAGTAGTAGTAGGTCTTTTCTATGTTAAGTGTTAGTTTGTTGGTTGACATCCATAAGTGGATTTAGGCAGGCAGCTGTCTCCTTATAAGGGGCTGCAATGATGAGTGTGCCAGTACGAGTGGGGTTAAAGGTAACATAGGTATCCAGAGTTAACAAGGTGCTTATGTATTTGTAAATCATCAGGGTTGGTTTGTTCGTGACAAACATCAAAACAGATTACATAGCAGGGCAAAACAGATCACCATAACAGAGTTCGAAGAAATCATGCATGTTCGAGTATGAGTACTGCAACATGGTGAACTAGTGAGAAGGGGAAGGGGGAGTAAATGGTGCAGTTGTCACAGCTAAAGCTGGAGCCACTCCAGGTGACGAGGTAGTTACCACTTGGAACATGGGGCTCGATCCTGACAAGTAAATGGGAGAAGAATGGAGAGGATCAGTTGAGAAAGCAAAAGAAGAAGCCTGGTCTGAGCCCGACATAGCCGGGGCCATGGAGTCTGATCTTCAATTTGTGTCTGACTCAGAGGGGCGTAGTTGCCTGCCCCACGAGCCTATGTTTGAGAAGTCAATTCAGTTACTATAATTTTTTCTAAAGTTTGGGCCCGGCAAGGGATACTACATACCAGGGCAATAAGGAGGGTAGAGTGCTGGCTGATACAGGAAAAGGTTCATCATACCAAGAAGTGCTCCCCCCTTTCAACAGGGAAGTCCTGCCGCATCATGTATGCTCCCACACTGGTGCAAAGGACTTATTCTCCCTCTTGACCAGTGCAGATACCCAGCCAACCTCTAAGAGTAGCCCTTCACGGGCAACTCTTCTGGCAGGTGGTCTGACGACCCATATGAGTATTGTACTGTAAGTTTGTCTCCTTTGCACGTACAATACCCAAAGAGACCTCACCACGACAAGAGGAGACAGGCAAGAAGGGGGAAATGGCAATAATGTAATAGAATATATTAAAATACTCTTTCTGAGATGCAAATGAAAGTTTTGAAGGTTTGTCCCTGTTTATATTCAAAGATTACTGGTTCCCAAAACTGGGGGCCTTTATGCAATACGTCGCAGGCCATAAGTTGAGGTAGTGTACAGGTTATCACAACTTGAGGCAGTGTACAGGTTATCATAAGTTGAGGCAGTGTACAGGTTATCATAAGTTGAGGCAGTGTACAGGTTATCATAAGTTGAGGCAGTGTACAGGTTATCATAAGTTGAGGCAGTGTACAGGTTATCATAAGTTGAGGCAGTGTACAGGTTATCATAAGTTGAGGCAGTGTACAGGTTATCATAAGTTGAGGCAGTGTACAGGTTATCATAAGTTGAGGCAGTGTACAGGTTATCATAAGTTGAGGCAGTGTACAGGTTATCATAAGTTGAGGCAGTGTACAGGTTATCATAAGTTGAGGCAGTGTACAGGTTATCATAAGTTGAGGCAGTGTACAGGTTATCATAAGTTGAGGCAGTGTACAGGTTATCATAAGTTGAGGCAGTGTACAGGTTATCATAAGTTGAGGCAGTGTACAGGTTATCATAAGTTGAGGCAGTGTACAGGTTATCATAAGTTGAGGCAGTGTACAGGTTATCATAAGTTGAGGCAGTGTACAGGTTATCATAAGTTGAGGCAGTGTACAGGTTATCATAAGTTGAGGCAGTGTACAGGTTATCATAAGTTGAGGCAGTGTACAGGTTATCATAAGTTGAGGCAGTGTACAGGTTATCATAAGTTGAGGCAGTGTACAGGTTATCATAAGTTGAGGCAGTGTACAGGTTATCATAAGTTGAGGCAGTGTACAGGTTATCATAAGTTGAGGCAGTGTACAGGTTATCATAAGTTGAGGCAGTGTACAGGTTATCATAAGTTGAGGCAGTGTACAGGTTATCATAAGTTGAGGCAGTGTACAGGTTATCATAAGTTGAGGCAGTGTACAGGTTAAGATACCAGGGTTGGGGAGAAATAACCAGCTGGTGGAGTGCAGGTTGTAAATTTTGTTTAGTTATTTCCGAGTGTGGAGGACTATTTAATAATGATGGTAATTTAATAATGATAAAGGACTATTTAATAATGATGCTAATTTAATAATGATAAAGGACTATTTAATAATGATGCTAATTTAATAATGATAAAGGACTATTTAATAATGATGGTAAGTGGTAATGACCGTAAAGTTTGGGAACCACGGTTCTAGATGGAACCTTCAGTGAAGATCTTCCTGAATTTAATAGGATTTACTTTCTAGTAATCCTGTGCTTGGATCATTTAAAATATTAGCAATTGTTTAGAAATTCTCGATTTTTAATAATAAAGTTACTTGCTTAAACTATATGCTGTGCTTTGCAAATCAATTTTAGTTATGGAAAATTTGTTCTGTAAAAACTACACACATTTAAGTATTGTTAATACTAAAAGCAAATGTATTTTTCAGTGCTGTTGTGGGCAGCCGTCGGCATTTATATAGAACAGAAGGACTTGGCCAGCACAGAGGAGTTAACTCTGATGATCATTACCATAGCAACGGCTTCCGTCCTGATTGTGACCCGCATTGTCATTCTTCTCTACAGAAACAAAAATAATGCAATCTACAGTAAGTCATATTCATGCAAGAATGCCAGTCATCATAAATGTCTCACAGAGTTAGATAGACAACTGAGGTAAATAGTGTATGCCCATTACTGAGGATCATCATAGTTGGACTATTCTGATACAGTCTATAGCACAATGACTATCACTTAAGATTTCCATCTTAATTCCATCCATTCCGTCATTTCTTACTTAAGATATGGGCACCATACAACCGCTGCATATTCCAGCTTTGGTCTAACAAAATTTCTTTAGTATTTAAAAGCAATTCTTAAGCTAGAAAGTGTAGCATGTGTGTAATTACCTAAGTGTAGTTACAAGATGAGAGCTACGCTGGTGGTGTCCCGTCTTCCCAGTACTCTTTGTCATACAACGCTTTGAAATTACTGATGGTTTTGGCCTCCACCACCTTCTCACCCAACTTGTTACAACCGTCTACCACTCTGTTTACAAACGTGAATTTTATTCCATTTCTCCGGCAGCTTTGTTTCGTTAGTTTGACTATGACTTCTTGTTCTTGAAGTTCCAGGTCTCGGGAATTCTTCACTGTCAATTTAATCGATTCCTGTTACTGTTTTGTACGTAGTGTGTGTGTGTACTCACCTAGTGGAGCTTGCAAGGGTTGAGCTCTGGCTCTTTGGTCCCGCCTCTCAACTGTCAATCATCTGGTGTACAGATTCTTGAGCCTACTGGGCTCTGTCCAATCTACATTTGAAACTGTGTATGGAGTCTGCCTCCACCACATCACTGCCTAATGCATTCCATCTGTTAACTACTCTGACACTGAAACAATTCTTTCTAACGTCTCTGTGGCTCATCTGGGTACTAAGTTTCCACCTGTGTCCCCTTGTTCGTATTCCACCCGTGCTGAAGAGTTTGTCTTTGTCCACCCTGTCAATTCCCCTGAGAATTTTGTAGGTGGTTATCATGTCTCCCCTTACTCTTCTGTTTTCCAGGGACGTGAGGTTCAGCTCCCTTATCCTTTCCTCGTAGCTCATACCTCTCAGTTCCGGGACTAGTCTGGTGGCGTACCTCGGAATCTTCTCTAATTTTGTTTTGTGTTTAACTAGGTATGGACTCCAGGCTGGAGCTGAATACTCCAGGATTGGTCTTACATAAGTGGTATACAGGGTCCTGAACGATTCCTTACACAAGTTTCTTAAGGCAGTTTTTATATTGGCCAATCTAGTATATGCCGCTGATGATATCCTTTTGATGTGGGCCTCTGGGGACAGGTTCGGTGCGATATCAACCCCCAGATCTTTCTATTTGACTCTTGCAGGATTTCACCTCCCAAATGGTACCGGTTCAGTCGAACCGAAGTTCTACTGAACTTCGGTTTCATAAGGTGTTGCATGGGGGGAGTTGTGTAAAACCCTGGTTTGTGTCTCGGAGAGACTGCAGGATCCAGTAAATTCAGTAGAACTTCGGTTTCAACTCTTTTGACCATGTCGTAGCTCAGTCGATTAAGGCAGCATCTGGGATGCTCTTGGACGCAGGTTCGAATCCTCGTCACAGCCCTTGTGAATTTGTTCATTTGATGCATCACGTTATTGTGATTTCTGTGTGTAATGTTATTATTTTCTTGCAGATAATACTGCTATGGTACTGGAATAGTTGGTGTTAAGACAGCACGCCTAATACAGAATGCCTCAAGTTACCCTTCAAGTAACTATCATAGCAAAAATTTGCCTTCACTGCTACAGTAGTTCTACACCCGATAGATTATGCCTGCATTTATACAAAATTTCATTGTAATTGTGATCCTGTTTTTCATTGATTGTATAATACCACTGAATTTATAAAATATGATCATTTAAGCTAGCTACATGTTCAGTTTGTTGGATGATGTGTGTGGCACTCAACTCTAGCCAATAAAGTGGATATTCTTGCCCTTGTATACACTTGAGTGAATAAAATATTCCACACAAACAAGCTTCCTGTGTTTCCAGCAATGGAATAAAATACCTCGTCTAATAAATATTTAATTTGTTTTGTTACATTTAAAGGCAAAAATTAACATGGAATTAAATTTCCATGTTAATGTTAAATGAAAAAGGCAGGTTTGTACGGGTGTGTGTTTGTATGTTTTAGGAATAAATGTGGAAATAGAAAAGCTGGTAGTGCGTTAATCTCCGTGCTGCATGGTTTTATTGTGACATTCTGGTGGTTTTCCGAAATTGAAGTTCTCCCCCTTCCCCCCAACAAAAAAAATTATTCGTTCTTTGTTCAGATCCCTTCCCTAAACATGTACATGAGAACAAAAAATATTAAAAAACTACTTTGGCTATGGCGACGTGGAGAAGACAGTCCGGACCGGCCCGCGGTCGTGTACGGTCGCAGTGTAGGCGTTCTTGGATATTGTGAAATTGTGTTCAACTGCTACATTAGTACTGTGCATCTGCGTGTTGGGGAAATGGCAGAGGCGGTCTGCCTCAGTGATGGACAATCCAGCACTGAGACTGTCGATTGTGAGAGTGAGGATGACTCTCAAGTACAGGGTGATACCAGGCCGTACCAAGTTGCAATGTCCAGGAAGAAACGGCGTAGTTTTCATGGACAGCGAGACAGTGAAAGTGAAGAGGACATGAAAAAGAGAGAAAATTTTTTGTGATCCACGACAGGAGACACCAGTGGTGCAAACTTCCAGGAACTATCAACAGGCAACCCTACCCAGCAGGATGCAGGACACGAAGATTATTAGAAGGAAGCGGCTGTTGTTCCCTACAACATGCCAACTGAATTTCCACCAAAAGCTGGAGTGGACAGTACGTCTGGCTAAGGAGTGTTTGGAATATGAACCACTATTCAAGGAGGGTCTTCACCGGCCCTACATAACAGTTGGGACAGAAAAGCCCGTGGAACGCCTAACGACGGTTGGTTTTGAGAATATTGTGATGGTTACTCCGGAAGAACGTATGATGCACACAAAGATCATAGTTTTTAAGTATCCAACTTATTTGGATCCTGATTGTCTTCTCAATAATGAGAGTGCTGTATTGGCAAAGAGGAACAGTGCTCGTGGTGACAAACAAAGCCAGGTTGTTGCCTTGGTAAAGGGTGAGGCGCCGGAGAGAATTTTTGTGCAAGGACTAGGCTACAGGAACGTTGCAAAATACCCATATTATGCATGAAGTATTCACGTTCGGGACATATGGCTTGGAAATGCCAGTTTGACTCCAAGTATCGGTTCGGTGGTAAGAAACACGACTCGCGAGAGTGTAGAGTCAAGATTGAAAAAAAGTGAAAAAATCGTCCCATTTTGTTGCAACTGTCGAGGCAGCCACAATACTGGTTCCTCTCTATGCCCCATGAAGCCTCATCTGAGAGAGACTAGGACCGTTCCTACAAGCAAGATAGATGTATCCTCGAAGGAAAGAAAGATTGTGCAGCAGGAGCATGGAGGAAACAGCTGGAAGCCAACGACAGCCCCTATGAAGGTAAGGTAATTATCAAAAGAATGCACCAAACCGGGAAGGCTATGTAGCACCATCAAAGTGCGAAATAATCAGAGGGTGCTAAATATCACCAAGAATGCCAATACGAGAACAAAAACGCATAAGGCGAACGATATCAAAAGTATCCGATTCACCTAGAATTCTATCGAGGGACAGGTGACCGCGAGGGACGGTCGGAAAGCAAGACACGCTCGTCCTGGAAGTCAGGACATTCAACAAGGATATGCACAACTGTAAGAGGGACAACGCAGTTCGGACAATAAGGAGCAGGACGGCGCTCCATTAAGTGACCGTGGGTTAAATCAAGGAAGCTATCAGAGACGTATAGATATGTGAAATTTAACTCTCGGTCTTGTTATTGTATCCGCAAGCTAATACTTTCAATACTCTATATCTCCGGGGGATTCCAGTTATCGCGTCAGGTATGGTACTTTTGACATAACATGAGACCCCCCTAGTTCCTCCATCAGCATATAAGTGAAAGCCTCTATAGCCATTTAGCCTCAGTATGCTACCATCCCTATCCCCAGTTTCCTGGAGTGCTACTATGTCAATATTCTCTCTAAGAGTATAATAATGTACATCCACCGCTCTAGTTTTTAATCCATTAATGTTCCAAGATAATATTCTCAATTTACTTTCATCCATGATTAATAATAAAACTACCTTTGCCCTGTCCGTCACATTCCATGAGATACGAGAGTACCTTAGAAACTTCCTTCCAACACCGTAACATTTTTGCTTTCTCCTCACCTTCACAACTACTACTAACATCGAAGGTAATATTATTCATATCTATTTTCTTTGTTATTTCTGTAACCCGTTTTACTTTAACCGTTCTTTCAACATTTGTCACAACAGGAGGTTGAACACCGCGAACACTACTAGAAAGTGTATTCTCCTGACTATCCTCTATCATCAATACGTCATGCGCTTCCTTACTTTCTTCTATGTATGTTTCACTTTCCATTTCACGTCCTGTTTTACTTTTAATTACACGTCCCGTTTCACCACCATCTTCCCCCCGTCTACCCTTCATAGCCAATTTTTCCAATGCCTCAATACTCTTGTCTAGTTTTTTAGATATTCCAAAATTTGATTACCACCCTCCGAGTTAACCATATTGTCCTGAACCTTGTCCTCACAAGGTTTCAGTTTTTCAACTGTATTTCCTACTTTCCCTATGCTCTCCTTAATTATCTCCGTTCCTTTTTCCCACACATTGTTCATAGGGGCTGTTGCGATTGATGCCGTGTCGTCTTAGGCCACCGATCATGGCTTCAAGTTCTCTGCGTCTAAGACTTGTGCTATGACTTTTACTCGGATGCATGTCGTTCTTCGTCCCTCTTTGTCGCTTTATGGTCATCCCCTTGAGTACAGGGATTCCGCGAAGCTTTTGGGGTTAGTCTTTGACACTCGTTTGTCTTGGTCAGCCCATATCTCTTACCTCCGAGTTGAATGCTCTAAGGCCCTTAACCTCCTTAAGATACTTGCCAGAGTCCTTCCTTTCTGAAGATACACTTGTGGTAGGGGATTTTAATGCCAGACATACAGCTTTAGGATCAAGTGGTAAAGCAAATAGAAATGGTTGCAGATGGTACCAGTTTTTGCAGGAACATGAAGATGTTCAACTGCTGGGCGAGCCCTCTCCTAGTCATTTGAGGGGAGAGAGATTAGATTATGCTTGTTTGATAAATGCTGAGGGCATAGAGGGGAATTGTCTTACTGTGGATGGTATTCCTCTTACTGTAGAGGAATAGCTAAGTGATCATTTTGCATTACAGATACAACTTAAACTAGATAAAAAGAATGCCTGCCTTCAGAGGAAAAGGTTAAAGTTTAATGAGGGAGAATTAAGAGGTCTTGTTGGCCATATTAAGTCTTGGTATGATACTTATAAGCCAGTTTCGGCAGAAGCTTTTTATGAAGATCTAATTAAGGAGGTAGATGTATTTAATGCAACATTGAACCGGAAAACATCTAGTATAAAAAAGCATCCCCCCAGAAAAGAAAATTATACTCAGGACAAGATGCTTAACTTCATCTGTGAGAGTAACATTACTGCTAAACAAGACTACTGAGAGAATATATCCTCACAGGTGATTAGTATATTTATAACAGTTTACCTAATGTAAGCTTTAAACTGAAATACTGACATACACAAGGATTACAATAACTGACAAAGTGAGCTGGCAACAGACCGCATGGTCGCCACATGGCGAGTGACTCGCACTCTTCTCCTCAGCAACTGGGTATCCACTATAACCAAACAATACATAGGAAGTTAACATACTTTGCCAACAGCCTTATTCAGCCACACATTTAACTGGATAACTCCAGAGCTCCGCAACACATCTCTGGGTCAAGGAAATCCTCATGCAAACATCACATGCGTTTCACAACAATGCCAGGGTTGGTACTCCCCTTGACCACAACATCCTGTCAGCCTCTTTAGTCAACATTTAGGCAACCAAATGTACCACCTGACTCCATACGGCGCTCCCGCGTGTCGGCATATAACCTCTCACAAACTAAGACAAAAAGAAAAAACTTCCTACAATACGCATACCAATACTCTCATTTTTATAACCATAACAATAGGTAAATACAAGGCACAATCTATCATCTTTATTCCATCTAAATGACTTAATATATACTAATTAATTAGGCATAAACATTACAAGTCAGTTATTCATCAATTAGATATAACTGGATCATAAAAGTTATCCCTCGGGCCCCGTGAGGTTTGTAATTACCTAAGTGTAGTTACAGGATGAGAGCTACGCTCGTGGTGTCCCGTCTTCCCAGCACTCTTTGTCATATAACACTTTGAAACTACTGACGGTCTTGGCCTCCACCACCTTCTCACTTAACTTGTTCCAACCGTCTACCACTCTGTTTGCGAAAGTGAATTTTCTTATATTTCTTCGGCATCTGTGTTTAGCTAGTTTATATCTATGACCTCTTGTTTTTAAAGTTCCAGGTCTCAGGAAATCTTCCCTATCGATTTTATCAATTCCTGTTACTATTTTGTATGTAGTGATCATATCACCTCTTTTTCTTCTGTCTTTTAGTTTTGGCATATTTAATGCCTCTAACCTCTCCTCGTAGCTCTTGCCCTTCAGTTCTGGGAGCCACTTAGTAGCATGTCTTTGCACCTTTTCCAGTTTGTTGATGTGCTTCTTAAGATAAGGGCACCACACAACTGCTGCATATTCTAGCTTTGGCCTAACAAAAGTCGCGAACAATTTCTTTAGTATATCGCCATCCATGTATTTAAAAACAATTCTGAAGTTAGAAAGCGTGGCATAGGCTCCTCGCACAATATTCTTTATGTGGTCCTCAGGTGATAGTTTTCTATCTAGAACCACCCCTAGATCTCTTTCTTTATCAGAATTCTTTAAAGATTTCTCACACAATATATAGGTTGTGTGGGGTCTATGTTCTCCTATTCCACATTCCATAACATGGCATTTATTAACATTAAATTCCATTTGCCAAGTGGCGCTCCATGAACTTATTTTGTCCAGGTCTTCTTGAAGGGCATGACAATCATCTAAGTTTCTTATCCTTCCTGTTATCTTACCATCATCAGCAAACATGTTCATATAATTCTGTATACCAACTGGTAGATCATTTATGTAGACAATAAACATCACTGGTGCAAGAACTGAACCCTGTGGTACTCCACTTGTGACATTTCTCCAGTCCGATACATTGCCTCTGATCACAGCCCTCATTTTTCTATCAGTCAGAAAACTTTTCATCCATGTTAGAAGCGTACCTGTCACTCCTCCAATATTTTCCAGTTTCCATAACAACCTCTTATGTGGAACTCTGTCGAAAGCCTTTTTTAGGTCCAGATAGATGCAGTCAACCCAACCATCTTTTTCCTGTAATATCTCTGTTGCTCGATCATAGAAACTGAGTAAATTCGATACACAGGATCTTCCAGATCGAAAACCATACTGTCTGATATTATATCATTTATCTCCAGGTGTTCTACCCATTTAGTTTTAATTATTTTTTCCAATATTTTGACTATTACACTTGTCAATGATACCGGTCTATAATTAAGGGGGTCTTCCCTACTTCCACTTTTGTAGATTGGAACTATGTTAGCCTTTTTCCACACATCAGCTACAACTCCTGTATACTGGGATGCCTGAAAAATCAGTTGAAGAGGAATGCTGAGCTCAGGTGCACATTCTCTCAGAACCCATGGTGAAACTCCATCTGGACCAACTGCTTTGTTCTTATTTAGCTCCTTGAGCATTTTTTCCACTTCGTCTCTAGACACCTCTATGTGCTCTATGTTGTTCTCTGGAATTCTTATTGTATCTTGTTCCCTGAAGATTTCATTTTGTACAAACACACTTTGGAACTTTTCTTTTAATGTTTCACACATTTCATTTTCATTTTCCGTGAATCTATTTCCCATTTTCAACCTCTGAATATTATCCTTTACCTGCAATTTGCTGTTTATGAATTTATAGAATAGACCTGGTTCTGTTTTACATTTGTCTGCAATCCCTTTTTCAAAATTTCTTTCTGCCTCTCTCTTCACTGTCGTGTAGTTGTTTCTCGCATCTTTGTATCGCTGGTATGTTTGGGGGTTCGGCCTCTTCCTGTATTGATTCCATTTTTGTGTTTTGGTCTCTGGCCCTCTCGCACTTTCTGTTGAACCAATCCTGTTTCCTAGTTCTGCTTCGGTATAAATTTTGTTGTGCCTTTATCATATATTTCACAAAACCTGACATACATCTCATTCACTTCCTTGCCTAGCAACAAGTCTGTCCAATTATACTCACTAAAATTTTTCTAAGGTTGCCATAATGTCCTCTCCTAAAGTCAGGTTTTTCATTTGCATCGACCATCATATGTTCTTCCAGATTATAACGCATTGCATATTTTATTCCCAAAAAGATATGGTCACTTTTACCCAAGGGAGTAGGTTTGCAGCTGTTTTTTTAAGTACTGCATGTCTTGGGGGGGGGGGGGTTAGTCGAGCTCAGAGGTTTGGTAGTCCAGCAGTGCTGGCTGCTTATTACCTAACATTTTTGGCCCACTTCAGGTGTGGCTTTGGGGCAGTTAACTCAATACTTTCCCCTTTCTAGGAGGATACCGTCTACAGCTCTCCTATACCCCCATTAGCCCAAGGAGCCACCATGGAGCACTCTCAGAAAAATGTAATAAAGCTGGTAAATCTACTTCAATATGCTGTACAATACTGCATATAATTTAAACATGTCACAATGTGCCAAACAACACATGCAAATCATAAAAATTTAGATACAAGTGCAAGGTGTGATTGACAGGGTTTGAGAGTTATTCTGGATGGTATAAAGTTACAATCAATAAGAAATTTTTAGTCCTTTTGAAGTGCAGAACAAAAATCTCAATTATTCCATGTCCATATTTAATCTAGATTTGATACTCATTGTATTACCTGTGAAATTACATGTTTTTGGATACAGAAGTGTCATTTTTCAATTGTTTATACCTCCAAACTATAGAAAATGGCTATTATTTCCCTCAAACTTTGCTATAACCTTGGCCTAAGATAGCTTATGGAAGACATCTTGAAGGCTGATGACCCTTTAACTAGCAACCCGTTCTCGCAAATTCGTATAGTCAGTATTGACTTATTAACTACGTGCATAGGTGATATACTAAACATAATAGATACCTTTAAAAAGCTTCATAGAAAACACCGACCTTACCTAACCTTGTTAGTATCTTAAGATAAGCATCTTATTGCTTCGTAATTATAATTATTACTTAACCTATACCTATAATAGGTTAAGTAATAATTGTAATTACAAAGCTATAAGTTGCTTATCTTAAGATACTAACAAGGTTAGGTAAGGTCGGTGTTTTCTATGAAGCTTTTCAAGGGTATCTATTATGTTTAGTATGTCACCTATGCACTTATTTAATAAGTCAATATTGACTTTACGAATTTGCGAGAACGGGTTGCAACTAGAGCTGTGACCTGTTTAAGTCTAAAACCTTTAGGTACTGTCAAGACATTATTCCTAAGCTGTCTTAGGCAAAAGTCAAAGCAACACTTGAGGGGAATAATTAGAAATTTTCTATACTTTGAAGGCATAAGCAATCATAAAAACACTAACCATTTACCAAAAAATAAATAAATTTATTATATCTTGATTCATACCACACGTTTTCCTAAACAACTGTACATAATTGTTTCTACTACAGGTACTATTACACACAAAAATGTGCAATGACATCACACTAAGTAGAGTTGTAAGTTTTGCTCCTTTAATTGGTATTCAATTTAAATATACAATATTTTAAGAGGAAAGTAATATTAAGGTTTATTAATGAAACAAGCTTAAACTTATTTAAATGTAAACAATCATTTTATTTATGAGGAATATTATGTCTTCACTCCATCCAATTTCTTTTCCATTTAGTGATGTTGACGTACATTGGGTTTAAAGAAAAAAAGAAATATAGGCATTATTATTCACCCAGATTAAATAAGTAATTATGAAAAGAAGGCACCAAACTGGGAAGGCTATGTAACCCAGGTTAAATAAGCACACACCTTGTATCTATAAGCATTACAGCACAGTACAGTATCTTGTTCACATATGATATTTACATCACAAAATTTGCAAATGTGGACAGTTAATGCTTGGTGCATAAAATGTGAACATTCAGGTACCTGTTAACCTTTCACATCAACAGCTCACCAATACCATTTCTTCCTACCTCTACAGCTATGCATTCTTTTCAAGCCTAAAACAGCTCCAATTGCTATTTGCATTTACCTCCTGCATTTTAACTGCTAAATATGATTTTTAAAATCACTTATCTGAACAATATTATTTTTTATATGCACCAATATGTAGAGCTTTTAATTAGACAAGCCGTTTAAGAGTTAAGGGAAAAAAATTACTGTACATACATGGTTTAGCAAAACTGGAAGGCATTTGTTAGAGCCCAACCTGTGGATACATTATAAATACCTATACAGAGTCAGAATCATGCATGCCCTATTTTTCTTGAAGGAACTAATGAAGCATTATTTGCACTTTAATAAATGGAATAAAAATTTATAAAATAACATTACTGTGAAGCCTTACTCAAACATTAAAACAATAATTACCTCTTCTATCCATTTTCTGTTTCATTCAAATACCTTCCCACTTTTCTCTTAATGAATATATGAGAAACTAAATAATATGGGATGGTAAGGAACATGGGTATGTAGACTGGTAGAGGAATAATAAGGGATGGTAAGGAACATGGGTATGTAGACTGGTAGAGGAATAATAAGGGATGGTAAGGAACATGGGTATGTAGACTGGTAGAGGAATAATAAGGGATGGTAAGGAACATGGGTATGTAGACTGGTAGAGGAATAATAAGGGATGGTAAGGAACATGGGTATGTAGACTGGTAGAGGAAAGTGAGAGAAATGGGAGGGAGGGAAAGAGGGGAGGTGACAAAGGGAAGGGAGTGGGGAAGAGATTAAACAAATAACATGGTTGCAATGATATAATACAAACAAGTGTGTAAATCCCAAAACATCCTCAAAATATGATAAGACCCTATAGTTACTATAGATGCAATGTGAAAAATATGATCTGTTGTACCCCCCCCCCATAAACAAAACGTCACATTTTGTCCGTTTGGAATTCTGAAGAGCAAAAGTAGATTAGACTAATCATAAACAATACGTATAGGCCTACGTAAGTGATCCGGGGCCCTAATTTACTACAAATACTGTATGTATTATAAAAACCCTAGGAAAAGTTAGATTTAGTAGATACCATCATCCTCAGGTTCTCTACGAACTAAATAGCAGAGTACTTACACAAACCTGTGCACACACACACACACCAGTCCATGTTTTGCACATTGCACCCATAGTAGCTACAGGTGTATTTTTGGCATGACAGGTGGCTGAATCAAAGATTATTTCAATATACATAAACCACAATTATACAATTGAGGGGAAGGAATAAAGTCAATGTGAAGGAAGGATAAAAGGTCAACAGATGAGGAAGCCAACATGTCAATGGCAGGAAAGATTAAGCACTATTTACTGTGAGAGTTATGTGATTACAATAATAATCTACACAAGTTTAATATCTTGATAATATAAAAGTTATTTTTTTCTTAAAGAAATATGTCAAATATAATATATATATATAAACTTGTAACACACATTTACTTTGCAGCCCTGTTTATAAAAAATTATATAAATTTCTTCCATGGAAATGTATATTTTTGAAGCTTTTAACTTCCTTTTAAAATCAATACAAAATTATATTATACTATACACTGTTGAAAATCAAAACATGATCAGTAATACATCGTGAACCAATGTCGAGAACTCACTTAAACATATCCTCAATAACTTTTTCCGGAGGGTAGACATTACCTTTTGCAAATGCCGTAGGAATGATAGTGTTCCAGTCTTCAACCGGCAGATACTTCTCCACCAGAGCAAATAGACTATTTTCATCGGTAATGAGGCCCTGTCGAGTCATGAGTTTCCTTATGTCTTGGCAAAGTATTTCATCTGGTCCTTTTCTGGCATTCTTTATATTTGTGAGGTCAGTAGACAAATTTTTCCAGAATGTTTCACAGACCTCCATGACAGCATTCATGCCACTGTCGGAAACTTTGCACTTTGCAAAGTGAGTAAATATTTCTTTCGTGACACTCTTGGACAAAGTAGCAGGCAATGGCTTCTTCTCTCTGGTCTTCCTGGTAACAACAATTTGACTGGGTGGTTTGCGTACAGTAGACAAACTGCCTCCTTTGAGGAGGTTGGCCAGCAAAGTTTCATCTTTTGCTTTATTTACAGTTCTGGGTGGAGGCATTGGTTTATCTGCGAGCTTCTGTATAAACTCTTTCATGGTCATCTGTCTAGTTTTGGATGTTGTCAATCTTTCAGACTGGGTACCCAATGCAGATGTACTTCCTCCTGGCTTTGGAGATGTGTTTATACCAGATTTTTGCTTACTTGAGTCATTGCTCTTCGATGCCTCACCTTCACCCTCCTCTTCAACATTCAAGTGGTAGGCTGTGACTTCTGACTCAGCTCCGGTATAATCACTAACCAAAGAACTACCGTGTCTGATCCGAACAGTTTTCCGCTCAGACACTGGAAGCAAGAGCAATTCATCATCACTCTCAGAATCAGAAGCATCTTCTGTAATAAAATCTTTTTGTCTAATATGAATACTATTTTTTGTGACAAGATCATCTACATTTTCACTTAAAGGATCATACTGAACAAATTCACTCTTTTGCCATGTACGTGTCCTACCTTCTTTGTGTGAAGTACCCTCAAGCTCATCATTTTCTTCATTTGATAGTTCCATTTGTACAATACGTTCATTCTTATCTGTGGCACTAGCATTTAGTGAAAAGGCACTAGAATCACTCATAACAGGTATGATAATGCCTTTAGAAGTTTCACCGTCTTTTGTTACTGAAGATACTTGCATTTCTGCACCAGCCTTTTCCTTGGGTTTTATAAGAGATGAACTTTGTTCTCCCTCTTTCATCAATATCCGACTTTTTCTTGGTGAATCTGTAACAGGTGTTTTTTTAACCTTATTAGAAAGTGATTCAGCTGTGCTTGCCTTTGCACTGCCATCAGAGTTTCTTGAACCTCTGTACTTTGCTTTAAGAGCTTCCTCTGGATGGATTTCAAACTGTTCATGTGTCAAAACAATACTTCTCATACTGGATCTCTTACCAGAGAATGAAGGTAACAGATTTCTAACTGGTGAAGTAATTGTTTTATTGTCTATTGCAACTCTGTCAACATTTGTAGGGGAAAATGAACTTTTTTCAATACTTGTCGGAATATCCTTTATAGGTGACGACAATGAACTTTTTCCGTCACTTGTGGGTACATTTTTTGTAGGTGACAATGTGCTTCTTCCAGCTCTTCTTGGACTGGTCTTTGTAGGTGACAACACCACATCTTTTCTGGGACTATCCTCTTCAACTGACATCACACTTCTTCTGGGACTTGTCCTCATAGGTGACATCAATACATTTTTTCTGGGACTGGCCTCTGCAACTGACATCACACTTCCTCTGGGACTGGGCTTCGTAGGTGACAATACCTTTTTTCTGGGACTGGTCATCGTAGGTGACAATACCTTTTTTCTGGAACTGGTCTTCGTAGGTGATGACAATACTACTTTTCTGGGACTGGTCTTCGTAGGTGACGACAATACTACTTTTCTGGGACTGGTCTTCGTAGGTGACGACAATACTACTTTTCTGGGACTGGTCTTCGTAGGTGACGACAATACTACTTTTCTGGGACTGGTCTTCGTAGGTGACGACAATACTACTTTTCTGGGACTGGTCTTCGTAGGTGACGACAATACTACTTTTCTGGGACTGGTCTTCGTAGGTGACGACAATACTACTTTTCTGGGACTGGTCTTCGTAGGTGACGACAATACTACTTTTCTGGGACTGGTCTTCGTAGGTGACGACAATACTACTTTTCTGGGACTGGTCTTCGTAGGTGACGACAATACTACTTTTCTGGGACTGTTCTCTGCAACTGACATCACACTTCTTCTGGGACTGGTCTTTGTAGATGACAGTGCACTTCTTCCAGCCTTTCTGGGACTAATCTTTGAAGGAGACAGCACATTTCCTCCAGCTCTTGGGTGACTGACCTTTGTAGGTGACAATGTATCTTTTCCAGTACTTCTGGTATTATGCTTAGCAGGAGACAACACTGAATCTTTTTCACTGCTTTTCTTGGGAGTGTGTTTAGGCGACAACACTGCATCGCTTCCAACACTTTTGCTGGTACTGTGTTTTGTTAACATTGAATCTTTTCCAATACTTTGCCTGGGACTATTCCCTGAAGTTAGCGAAAATGAATCTCTTTCATCGCTGCTGTGATTATCTTTTGAAGGTGACAACCATAAAGATCTTCCTATACTTTTTCTAGGACTGGATCTTACAGAAGACACTACAGTACTGGACCCAATAATTGGACTAAGACTTTCTTTCTCACGTGACAATCTTAAACTATTTTTCCTGGGACTATCCATCAGAATGGATGTTGCTTCACTTCCAGAACTCTTATGGAAGTTGTCTTTTCTACGAGATGGCGACTGAGATAGTACACCATGATTACTAGGACTGTCAATCGGAGATGCATGTAGAGTAAGTGGCGATTCTCTCGCTTCCTTGCTCTCCTCTTCCTCATCACCATGAAGAGAAAAGAGGGCAGCAGATATGTTGGTCTGGAGTTCAGTATCCTCACTATCACTAGAAAAACCTCCAGGGGAAAGTATGTGCTCCTGAAATTCTGCTGTGCTCTTGTAAGTATCTCTAGAGGTTCTGCCAGGGCTGCTGCTCTGCACTCCTCCTCTCTGAGGAATGCCACTCTTTTTGCCATCTGGTGAAGGCAAACCATGAGGCACCTTGTTCTTGGGCGATTCCAATTCTGTTTCACTTCCATCTAAGGAGTCTGATAGTAAAGCTGCTTTCTTCTCTTCTGGGGATTTTTCTGTAATAGCAGCCGAATTCTTCCGAACTTTTAAATCATTCATCAGAGCCGACACATTTAATTTCAAGGTAGCCTTACGGCCAAACCTTTGTCTAGTTATCTCTCTAGCATTTTCGAGACTGTCATCATAATCCAAATCATAAGTTTTATCTAAATGAGTTATCAAACTTTCTCTTGAAGCAGGGCTCCGAGAATTGGGAGACTCCTGTTTCTGTATAGAATTGTCTTTCTGAGACTTGAATTTCTTAGAAGGGTTTCCCTTTCTTGTGTCATTGAGTGCATCTCCAGGACTATCTGCACTCACAACAGAGTGGTGTGAGAGGCTACCATCCTGTGATAACTTCTGACCAGAAAGCACTGGATCAATTTCATCAAGAACAATGCCTCGCTTCTTCATCCTGTAACGCACATTTTTGGCTACACCATAATCTATGCTATCTGATGATGATTCCATCACATTATTCTGAATCTCACCATATGTAATGTCACCTTTTAAAGTTTCCTTAAGTGGTATACTGTGAGTCAAAGATGACTCTGAATTAACTTTTTTCCCCAAAGCCTCTACAGTGGTACCTCGGAATACGAGTGTCCCTGAATACGAGTTTTTCGGAATACGAGCAGGATTTGCTCGGAAAATGTGCCTCGGAAGGAAGGGTTACCTCGGAAACGCGAGTTTGTTGATACGCGTACAGGCCGACCTAGCGCGTGGTGGTACGGCGATCGTCGCCCCCCCGCCCCTCAGTTTACCAGTGCCTCGCGCCCAGTGACTATCCCGCGTCAATTCTTCACCAGGATTTTCAGTGTTTTGTTGGATTTTTGGTCATTTGACCATAAAAGTTGTTATTATATATCTCACCATGGGTCCCAAGAAAGCCAGTGGTAAGGATCAAGGCAAGAAAGCGCATGTGAGGATGACAATAGAGGAAAAACAAGAGATCATTCGGAAGCATGAAAATGGTACACGTGTTGTTGAACTTTGTAGGCAGTACAACAAAGCCACGTCAACGATATGCACTATACTTAGCAAGAAAAAGGACATTATGAGTGCTAAAGTGGCAAAAGGCGTAAGAACAATCACGAAACAAAGACCACAAATACTTGAAGAAGTGGAAAAGTTGTTATTAATTTGGATACACAACAAGGAGTTAGCGGGTGATAGTGTTTCAGAGGCCATCATTTGTGAGAAAGCCAGGGTATTGCACGAAGACCTTGTAAAGAAAACCCCTGGAACGAGTGCAGATACGATAGACTTTAAGGCAAGCAGGGGATGGTTTGAAAAATTTAGAAAAAGAAGTGGTATCCATAGTGTTGCGAGGCATGGGGAGGCAGCCAGCTCAGACAAACCAGCGGCTGAAAGATTTATTGAAGAATTTAAAGGGTTTGCAGAGGCTGAGGGATACCTACAGCAACAAGTTTTTAATTGTGATGAGACGGGACTGTTCTGGAAAAGATTGCCTAAAAGGACATACATTACCAAGGAGGAAAAATCCTTGCCCGGACACAAACCTATGAAAAATAGGTTTACGCTTGTGCTGTGTTCAAATGCGAGTGGCGATTTGAAAATTAAACCCTTGCTAGTGTATCATTCTGAAAATCCAAGGGTTTTCAAACAGTATAAAGTGCAGAAATACAAAAAGTGTGTGATGTGGAAGTCTAATAAAAAGGCATGGGTGACTAGGATTATTTTTTCGGAGTGGGTGAATAAAGTGGTGTGCCCTGCCATAGAAAAATATCTGCAGGAGAAACATTTGCCACTCAAGGCCCTGCTTCTCCTCGACAATGCTCCTGCTCATCCTCCAGGCTTGGAAGATGAATTGTTGCACAGATACAGTAAATTTCTCACAGTAAAGTTCCTTCCTCCTAACACCACTCCTCTAATTCAGCCTATGGACCAGAAAATCATAGCGAATTTTAAGAAACTTTATGAAAGGGCACTTTTCCGGAAATGTTTTGAAGTGACTGAAGCCACAAACCTCACCCTCAAAGAGTTCTGGAAAGACCATTTTAACATTTGTAGTGCTTTAAAACTCGTTGACAAAGCCTGGCAAGAAGTGACTCAAAGAACCCTGATCTCTGGCTGGAGAAAATTGTGGCCTGAATGTGTGACAGAACTAGACTTTGAGGGGTTTGAGCCTGTAAATGATGTGCCTATTGTTGAGGAAATTGTTACTCTGGGCCGGCAAATGGGCTTGGAATTGGATGGTGATGATGTGGAGGAGTTGGTGGAAGAACACAACGAAGAACTGACCACCGAAGAACTCCAAGCCCTTCAAAAGGAACAGCAAGAAGACCCAGCTGAGGATGTTTCTCCAGTGGAGGAGGATGAGGCAGTACAGAATGTCCCTTCTGCAGAAATTAAGAAGTGGTGTCAGATGTGGGAAGAGATGCAAACTTTTATTGAAAAGACTCACCCAGAGAAAGCTGTAGTAGGCCGTTGCCTTAATCTTTTCAATGACAATGTGATGCCTTACTACAGAGACAGCTTGCGAAGAAGGGAAAAACAAGCTTCCATGGACAGATTTGTTGTGAGAAAATCGAGCAGTGAGCCACAACCAGGACCTAGTGGTATGCAGGCAAAACGTGCCAGGGAGTGCACACCAGAAAGGTCCTCACTGCCTGATGTTATAATGGAAGGGGACTCCCCTTCCAAACAGTAACACCTCTCCTCCTCCCCCCTCCTCACCATCTTCCATACGCCTACAGCATTCATCAGCAAGGGTAAGTAATAACTTGAACATAGTTTTGTAGGTTTATTTAGATGAATTAGGTATAAAATTTAGTTTGAAGTGAGGTTTTTGGGTAGTCAGGAACGGATTAATTCATTTCCCATTATTTCTTATGGGGAAATTAGCTTCGGATTACGAGTTTTCGGAATACGAGCTGTCTCCAGGAACGGATTAAACTCTTAAACCGAGGTACCCCTGTATATTAAACTGAACGAGTATACACATTAGGTTGAGGTGTGCCAATTGGTGCTCGTTTACGGGTAACTTTAGGCTTTCTTGCGGGGAATCACGTTGAGCTTTTGCACATTATATGCATATACGCCTGCAGAGAATTTAATTGCGAACACAATGATACCAAAACGAACGACGTAGCACGAGAATTAAGGTGAGAAAACAAACGAGTATACACATTTCAGTGTTGCCGGGCACTTGCCCGCACGCCGCCGGCGTGCGGGCAAGAGATTGTCTTCTCCTACATTCCCTCGCTTTCCTCTTATCATTATTTTCTCCTTCTCTTTCGGTGGTTATAATAGGAACTGCCTCGTATGGGCTAATAGGCCCTCTGCAGTTTCTACTACTAGCCCCTCTACTTCACCTTACTTTGCTCCTCATCTCTCGTGCCTATTTATTGCCTGTCTCTACTTCCTCATCACAATCGACTTGAGAATGGTCCAGGACGGACCGAAACGTCGTCGTCCCTTCACATTCTAGTGTGTGGTCTGGTCATCAAAGCAAATAAGCTCAAAAAGCCCGGCTTACCACCCGCAGCAAACAGAAAAAGTGAGAGAAAGTTACCCGGGAGCGCACTAGAGCGATAAAATGTGTTCTCTCCTTTCACTTTGGTCACCTCAATTTTCGTCCTAGGTCTTTCATTTTGGTATCATTGTGTTCGCAATAAAATTCCCAACAGGAGTATATGCATATACTGTATTGTCAAAAACCGTGGTGCACTCCACCTGCCGATGTGATGAAAGCAGGTGATGAGAGCAGGGAGGAGCACCAGGCCGTCCATTAGAGCACGGTAATACTGAGAAGTGTATAGTCTTTTCAACTTTGTCACCTTAATTTTCATCCTAGATTTTCCAATTTGATATCAATGCATTCGCAATAGAATTCTCTACACGATTAAATGCATGTGAAGTCCGAAAGCCCGGCGTACCACCCGCACAAAGCAGGCAAAGTGAGAGTATGTTACCCGGGAGCGCTAAAGAGCAATGAAATGTGTACACTCTTTTCACTTTGATCACCTCAATTCTTGTCCTAGGTCTTTCATTTTTGTATCATTGTGTTCGCAATAAAATTCCCTACAGGTGTATATGCAAATATAAAGTCCAAAAGCCCGACGTACCACCCACAGCAAACAGAGAAAGTGACGGTGCGTTACCCCAGTGAGCGCTAATAAAGAGCAATAAAATGTTTATTGCTCTTTTCAACTTTATTACCTCAATTCTTGTCCTAGGTCTTTCATTTTGGTATCAATGTGTTCGCAATGAAAATCCCTACAGGTGTATATGCATATAATGTCCAAAACCGCCATTTTCACAAAATCAAATGTTTTTAATTTTTGATGCCATCCTTACTCATCAGTGTGTATTGAACTAGTAAACTTTTGACTCCATCCTTAGTCGTCGGTGGGCGAAAGTGTTAAATATTATAAGCTCTATAAAGTCCAGACTGGATAGATTAACTAGACATTTATATATACTTTTTATATACATTTTTACTTTTTGTTTAACGAATTGTTTCTACCAGAAGCATCCTGGGTTTTCTATTAAATGCATGGTATTTATTAACCCTAGATAATTATGTGTGTGACTATGACCCGTGCTGATAGATACATGCGCCTTGCTGAACTAAGATAGATAACATACAGTAATCACTAGTGTTTGCTGATGTAACCCTTTGATTACATTCTACATCACTGCATTATCTTGAGCTTAAAAGTTTAATTAATTAAAAAAAAGCTACACATTAGTTAAATTTCATTTTTGCTGTAAAAATGCCTTTTAAAGACAAATCAAACAATGAGAGTAAACCTGTCTACACACCTTTAATTCGTTTTGCAGCACTGCTCTCTTCCCCTTCACTTTGTTTTCTTCTAGAAATTTGTTGACGGATTGGTAATTTCCTGATTGGTGCTGGAGTTTCTTCTGGGTCAAGAACTTCCAGCTGGTTGCGGATGGCTGTTCTTGGGGTAATTTCATCTATCTGCATGTAAATATCATCCATTTTCTGAAAAACAATTTCAAAATTCAAAGAAAACAAAACAGAGGTGTTCAAAGAATAATAATTAATAATTAATTTTGTTGAGGACAGTCAGCCTGTATATATATATATTGTATATAGGCATATATCAACATTTCCCCCTGCAATGACTGGTACACAAAATCTAGCTTTTATTGTTATTAGTCTAAATGCTTTGTTTTAGTTAAAATATCAGTTTGTTTCATTTTGTTAATGTTAATTTTAGTTTAATTTGTCAGTGTTTGCATGTTAAATTGTGTATCATTGTTATGATATCAACACCGTTGCTGGTGTGAGTTGCGACGATATCAAAGCCATCTATGAACCTGCACTCCAACTCCAAAGCATTAAGTAAGATGAAGACAATGCCATTTGTTGGCAGAGGTGTGACGTCTGTGAAAGACTCCTGTTTCGAACTTAAATTAGGAGATGAGGTCGATGATGCCAACCTCTGGTCTTACGAATGCCCCTCTTTACAAATTTTTCGAGTAACGAGCCCAATTTCTTCAGAAAATTTGAATCGGGTTACGAACTTTTCCTCGGGAAACAAGTTTGTTGATACACGTATGGGCTGACCTAGCGCGTGGTGGTACGGCGATCGCGCCTCAGTTTACCAGTGCCTCCTGCCTAGTGACTATCGCGCCTGAATTCTTTGCAAAGATTTACAGTTTTTATTTTTGGCTATTTGAACATAAAATTTGTTATTATATATCTCAACATGGGTCCCAAGAAAGCCAGTGGTAAGGTTCAAGCCAAGAAAACACATGTGACTATGACCATAGAGGAAAAACAAGAGATCATTCGTAAACATGAAAATGGTACACGTGTTGTTAAACTAACTAGGCAGTACAACAAATCCATGTCAATGACATGCACTGTACTTGCAAAGAAAAAGGACATTATGAGTGCTAAAGTGGCAAAAGGCGTAAAAACAATCACGAAACAAAGAACACAAACACTTGAGGATGCTGAAAAGTTGTTATTTATTTGGATACACAACAAGGAATTAGCAGGTGATAGCATTTCAGAGGCCATCATTTGTGAGAAAGCCAGGGTATTGCACGAAGACCTTGTAAAGAAAACCCCTGGAACGAGTGCAGATTCGAAGGAGTTTAAGGCAAGCAGGGGATGGATTGAGAAACTTAGAAAAAGAAGTGGTATTCATAGTGATGTGAGGCATGGGGAGGTTGCCAGCTCAGACAAACCAGCAGCTGAAAGATTTATTGGCGAATTTAAAGATTTTGTAGAGCATGAGGGAGACCTACCGCAACAAGTGTTTAATTGTGACAAGAATTTCTATTCTGGAAAAAGATTGCCTAAAAGGACATACATTACCCAGGAAGAGAAGTCATTGCCCGGACACAAGCCTATGAAAGATAGGTTTAGTCTTGTGCTGTGTGGTAATGCGAGTGGCGATTTGAAAATTAAACCCTTGCTTGTGTATCATTCTGAAAATTCAAGGGTTTTCATAAAATTATAATGTGCAGAAAAGCCAAATGTGTATGATGTGAAGGGCTAATAGTAAGGCATGGGTGACAAAGCAATTTTTTTTACGGAGTGGGTGAATGATGTGGTGTGCCCTTCCTACAAAAATATCTGCTGGAGAAAAGTTTGCCACTCAAGCCCCTGCTTCTCCTCGACAATGCTCCTGCTCATCCTCCAGGCTTGGAAGATGCATTGTTGGACAAATTTAATTTTGTTACAGTAAAGTTCCTTCCTCTCAACACCACTCCTCTAATTCAGCCTATGGACCAGAAAATCACATCCAATTTTAAGAACCTTTATGAAAGGGCACTTTTCCAGAAATGTTTTGAAGTGACTGATGCCACAAACCTCACCCTCAAAGAGCCCTGGAAAAACCATTTTAACATTTGTAGTGCTTTAACAAAGCGCATTGACAAAGCGCCTGGCAAGAAGTGACTAAGAACCATGATCTCTGGCTGGAGAAAATTGTGGCTTGAATGTGTTTCAGAACTAGACTTTGAGGGGTTTGAGCCTAGACCTGAAGTGCCTATTGTTGAGGAAATTGTTACTCTGGGCCGGAAAATGGGCTTGGAGTTGGATGGTGCTGATGTGGAGGAGTTGGTGGAGGAACACAGTGAAGAACTGACCACTGAAGAACTCCTAGCCCTTCAAAAGGAGCAGCAACAAGAGGCAACTGAGGAACTGTCTTCTGGGGAGGAGGAGGCAGTAGAGAATGTCCCTTCCTCAACAATTAGGAAGTGGTGTAGGCTGTGGGAAGAAATGCAAACTTTTATTGAAAGGACTCACCCAGAGAAAGCTGTAGTAGGCTGTTGCATTAACCTTTTCAATGACAATGTGATGCCTCACTACAGACAAGTGTTACAAAAAAGGGAAAAACAATCTTCAATGGAATGATTTTTAATGAGAAAATCAAGCAGTAAGTCACAAGCAGGTCCCAGTGGTATGCAGGCAAAACGTGCCAGAGAGTGTACCCCAGAGAAGTCATCACTGCCTGAAGCCAGCTAATGCTCCCTCCCTCCTCACCATGATTCCTCCTCCCACCATATTGTTTGTATGGTTTTTACACTATATACAATTATCTACATGTTTTATTCACCATAACTATACAGTACAACTAAGCTAGTATGGTGTCCAAACAGCACACTGGCCACCATACACTGCATGACAAGTCTCACAGCAGCCAATGCCACCTTCCTCACCAAAATGTCTCCTCCCAACATACTCCTTTTGCTGTTATTACAATATATACACGTTATATACAAATACTGTATGTACATTTGTGTTCACCATAGCGAACCACTAGGCAGGTATGGCAAGTCCAGACAAGAGTGGCTGCCACACACCAGCCAGCTTACGCTACCTCCCTCCTCACCAAGATTCCTCCTCCCACCATACTAGGCACATCGCTAATTCTCACCACAATGCTGCTGTTATCATATCAGAATCCTGGTCACTAAATCCTATAAATGAATAATTTTCTACAAGTTTATTTTGTAAAGGACCATGAGAAGTTGTTTTAAAATTCTTAGATGGACCAAACAATGGCAGTGTGCTGTGGCTAGTGCTGTGAACATCTTGAACAGCATTATGTTCAATGATATCTGAACATTGTACAAGTGTATCACAGTCAGGCTCCTCCGTAATACTATCATAATTAATACAGTGGAGCCTCGATTAACGACTTTAATCCGTTCCGACACCAAGCTCATCATGTGAAACGCTCGTCTTTCAAAACGAATTTCCCCACTTAAAATAACGGAAATCAAATTTATCCGTTCCATCACCAAAAAACATCAATATGATATTCAATTTTTAAAGTAATGGAGCAGTCTACCTGATGTACACTGAACAAACCTTTATGACTTTTTTATTTTTTTTTATTTCAATTTTTTTTCTAAAAAAAAAAAAAAATGCTTTGCAGTCAATTACAGCAGTCACCCCATTACATCCCCGCATCATTAGTATCTTTAAAAAAAAAATTATTTGTATCGTCGGAGGTGTCCGAAAATTTAGGAGAACCAGAGGGAAAGCTAGGAAGCACCACATGGTTTTCTTGTTAATAGAGCAGACACTCACCAATCGAGACCAATTTTCGGCAAGTGGCTCTCTCATTACGCGAAATGCTCATAAAATGAGCTGCTCGTCACTGGAGGTTCCACTGTACTATCATGCAGCTAAATAATACCAGTTACATATACAGTACCTTATATTTTGGCATTTTTAGGCAATGCTGTGGTCACAAGCTGAACAGCAATGCTGTGAACTCATGCTGCATGTGCCAGGCCTGGTGGCTCACTCAGTACCGAGGCTCTCACACCTGGGAATGTTGCTCACAATTTCTTTTTAAAATGGCGTCTGTTTACAAGAGCCCCGAGGAAGCTGATGTGAACCCTGTATAGCCGCGAGAGTTTTGAATCCTACCCTATACCTACGAGCCCCCTGAGGTGCTCTGCACACCCCCCGATCAAGCACCTCAAAGCATTTTGTGCAGTGTGGCGGTGATCCTCGTAGCTCTTGTCTTTCAGTTCTGGGAGCCATTCAGTCGTATGCCTTTGCACCTTTTCCAGTTTGTTGATGTGCTTTTTAAGATATAGGCACCATACAACCGATGTATCTTGAGATGATTTCGGGCTTTAGTGTCCCCGCGGCCCGGCCCTCGACCAGGCCTCCACCCCCAGGAAGCAGCCCGTGACAACTAACACCCAGGTACCTATTTTACTGCTAGGTAACAAGGGCATAGGGTGAAAGAAACTCTGCCCATTGTTTCTCGCCGGCGCCTGGGATCGAACCCAGGACCACAGGATCACAAGTCCAGTGTGCTGTCCACTCGGCCAACCAGCTCCCTTGTATACTCCGTTGTTGGAATGTATATTCCAACAAGTCATTATTTGGTCTAACAAGTCATGAACAATTTCTTTAGTATTTTGCCATCCATGTATTTAAAAGCAATGCTGAAGATAGAAAGGTAGCATAGGCTCCTCGCACAATGTTCTTAATATGGTCCTCAGGTGATAGTTTTCTATCTAGAACCACCCCTAGATCTCTCTCTATCAGAATTCTTTAAAGATTTTTCACCTAATTTATAGGTTGTGTGGGGTCTATGTTCTCCTATTCTACATTCCATAACATGGCATTTATTCACATTAAATTCCATTTGCCAAGTGGTGCTCCATACACTTATTTTGTCTAGATCTTCTTGAAGGGCATTACCTTACTTTGAGGTTACCTTGAGGTTACCTTGAGGTTATCCTGAGGCGTTTCTGGGGCTTAGCGTCCCCATGGCCCGGTCGTTGACCAAGTCTCCTCGTTGCTGGACTGGTCAACCAGGCTGTTGGACGTGTTGGACGCAGCTCCTCGCAGCCTGATGTATGAATCACAGCCTGGTTGATCAGGTATCCTTTGGAGGTGGCCCGTCCCCGTGGCCCGGTCCATGACCAGGCCTTTTTGTTACACACCCCCCGGGAAGCAGCCTGTAGCAGCTGTCTAATTCCCAGATACCTATTTACTTGTAGGTAACAGGGGCATCAGGGTTAAAGAAACATTTTGTCCATTTGTCTCTGCCTCCACCGGGGATCGACCCCGAAATCTCAGGACTACGAATCCGAAGAGCTGTCCACCCAGCTGTCAGACGCCCATAAGGTGGCGTCAGGTGGAGAAATTCATTGTGTGCAGGGCAAGATAATCATCTAGGTATCTAATAAACAAGTAAAAACAGTCTAGCATATTGAACACTGATACCAATAGTCTTACCAGTAACTGAATTCAGGGGGTTTAAGTCTTTCCTTTAACCTATCTTGAGGTTATCTTGAGATGATTTTGGGGCTTTAGTGTCCCCGCGGCCCGGTCCTCGACCAGGCCTCCACCCCCAGGAAGCAGCCCGTGACAGCTGACTAATACCCAGGTACCTATATAGTGCTAGGTAACAGGGGCATAGGGTGAAAAACTCTGCCCACTGTTTCTCGCCGGCGCCTGGGATCGAACCCAGGACCACAGGATCACAAGTCCAGTGTGCTGTCCACTCGGCCGACCGGCTCCTACCTATGATGTAGATTGTTTACATTGTCACTTGTTGATACCTAATCTAAAGTATTTGTGCTGTCCACAAGCTTCAATGTTTTGGTTGCTCACTTTATAAGGACGGAGAACTCCAGACTTTGTTAAAGAGATAATTAAACTGCATTTGATGCTTTTAGCAACAAAATAATCAAGTAGAGCTTGCAACACCTAGATAGATGAATTATGGATAAAAAAGATGATGTCAAGCAAATGCTGCAGGAACTCAAGTGCTGGTCCTTGCCCACCAAAACAAGTGTTCCAAACTCAAAGCATATTACATTAAGTATAAGGTAAGATTAGACCTAGGTTAAGTTTATTTAGGTTACATTTTATTCCCAAGATGGTTTGCCAACAAATTTAAAAACCTTATCTAACCTTAGCCAACCTAACCAAACTTAAAAGTTAACAGACTAACTTAACCATATACAGTACAGTTTTTAGAAATAGAAAATAAGCTTTGTCGATCTGCACACGAACACTTTGACCGTAACCTGGTTTATTGGAGCACAGATGGCACTTGTCATCACTATTGTGTGATATGTCATCACTTCATAACAAAAAGCAAGACTTTAAAAAACACAATAGCAGACAAAGCATTTAGCCAAGGGATTGGCACTTATTAGCATTATATAACCAACAATTTTAAAGCTAACTTAAGTTAACCCATGAAAAGGTGCTAATTGGGTCCACAAAACCGTTAAAAGCTTATTAAAATTAATGAACGAGATAACCCAGCCCGAGAAACGCACATGGACAAACCAACCGTCCCCCACAGCACAATACCCCTGTTAAAGTGTTCACAGTTGCTCAGCGTCACACTACAAAAGCCGAGCTCACACCTGATGAGATCGTCAAACACTGAGTAGGATCTAGGACCTGAGAAAAAGTCTGATTTTTTATTTTATTTAAATATATATATATACAGTATATTTATGTCAGGCAGTCCCTTGACCCTAATTTTACCCAGAATACGACCCGCCAAATCGTTTAACAACCAGGTACCCATTCACTGCTAGGTGAATAGAGGCTACAGTTAAGGACTGGCACTCAAGTCAATCCTCTCCGGCCAGAATACGAACCTAGGTCAAAGAGCTTGTGAAGTGCCGGACGAGTGTCTTACCACTGCACCACAGGGACTGCTTAGTGCCCGACACAGTGACCTTATGTCGTCACTACTCTTCAAATAAACTTACACTAACAAATCATAACCTAACCAATTATAAGCCAACCTTATCCTAAGTTAACTTTGACCTAACCTTATCCTCACCTACTGTATCCCAAGCTAACCTAACCATACCTATCCCACCTTAACCTAACCCACCCACACTACCACGACCCAAACTACCCTACCCTTATCCTAGTGACAATAAGAAATAAAACAGTTTGATAACTAGTGCAGAGGTTGTGATCTTCGGGAGACATTACCCCACCACCTCACTCCGCCACATTTACTCAGCGGTATCGACCACCTTCCTAGCCCATATCTCAGTGACAGCTATTCGGGGAAGACAACTAGTTGACTCGTTGACCTCAGGCGACTCACCTCGGGTCAAAGATGGAGGCGTGGCCACAGGGAGGCCAAATTACTCTCCACTCGACCAGTAGCGTTCAACCTGCGCGCCAAGATGGCCGACCACACCACCAAAACATTGCTGACATTGTTTCAAAACAAATGCAAAATATATCTTGCCACACAATTATTTCTTAAAAGACCTCTTGAATTTATTTAAATTTTAATTAATTATGCTGTTACTTTTCTAGCTGTATGATATTCGTAGATTCTACACAAATTGTAAATCTTCATATTTTTGAATGTTGCAGATTTTCTGACACTAACCTTCCCATGGGATACTAGATTAAATATTATTTATTTATTTATTTATTTATTTATATACAAGAAGGTACACTGGGTTTGTAGAATACATAGCATAGTGTTTACAAACTTATAAAGCCACTAGTACGCGCAGCGTTTCGGGCAGAACAGATAATTTTAAGTAGGTAAACTCTAGCAGAATTAATAAAATGATAACAAATACAGATATTAGGAAATATAATATTTTTTTAATGAACAAAATTAGGTATACACAGCAATGTGCTGCCACCCTATTCAATTCAATTTCTTTCTTTATTATGCACCCCATACCCATCCCGTGGGCGGTGGTGTAAAGGATTACAGAGGCACAAGTTCAAGTTCAAGTATGTTTATTGAGATAAACAATAAATACATCTCAAAGAGATAGAGTAGCTTAGGCTATTTCTACCCCCCTCTACTTCAAGTCCATCAAGGGGCGCACAAATGCTGTGAGTACAAATACACAAATAACATTACAAGAATCCCATTTAACATTGCAGGTTAATATAGTAAGTACAGCATATAATTGTTACACTCTTGGGGCAAAATTCTTGTAGCTCCTAAGTATACTGTCTATCATACCATTATCACACATCCAAACAATTTGATGTGGTACACTATTTATTTCCTTATTTCTATAGTTTTCAATAAGTTGACACTCTAATACATAATGTTCTAAGGTGTGGGCGTGCGGCATACTACATAATTTACACTCCTTATCTTTTTCACTGACATCAACACCGTATTGCCAGATATATTTATATCCTAATCTTAATCTCATGTAAATTGAATCCTTCCAAGTAGACTTTCCTTTACCATAAGTGAAGGACGAGTTTGTATTTATTATTGAATAATTCTTAAGTGTGTTACTACTGTCCACCATTGCCATTCTCTTTATCATTTCTTCACCCTCTTGGATCATCTTGAATCTTGTTTTTATTTATTTCAAGGTTAACTGACATACAACATCAACAAGAGTTTTTTCAGTGGCTCTCTTCGCTATGTCATCAACTACCTCATTCAACAGTATTCCCACATGTGAAGGGATCCACATGAATCTTACTTTATACCCAGTTTTTTCTAGTCTCTTAACATTCTCTCTACACTCTATCACAATATTCTGATACTCCAGGAAACTGGGGATAGGGATGGTAGCATACTGAGGCTAAATGGCTATAGAGGTTTTCACTTATATGCTGATGGAGGAACTAGGGGGGTCTCATGTTATGTCAAAAGTACCATACCTACAGAGGTACATAATCGGTTCAGGAACTGAACCCTCTAGTTCGATTAGCTAAGCAAATAACAATATTTGACGCTAGTTACGAAAGTATCAATGTTGTATACACATGTACACACCCTCATACATACATGTACATATATATATACGTATACACATATACATACACATATATATATACGTATACACATATACATACACATATATATATACGTATACACATATACATACACATACATATCTAATCACCCACACAATTACACGCATCAATAATCTTTGTGTCACAAGTGACACAAAGAGGTGTCACAAGTGACATTACAAGAGGCTCACAACAGTCACTATACAAGGCACTTTACATCTATGGTGAGTCACACAGCTACTAGTCTTGCTGCACACCCACCCAACTGGGCGGCAGCTTTACAGTCATGTGCTGCACACCCACCCAACTGGGCGGCAGCTTTACAGTCATGTGCTCCACACCCACCCAACTGGGCGGCAGCTTTACAGTCATGTGCATGCATTACTTACAGTAAGCAAATTTTGGATACTTCGCTAAAATTTCGGGCAGCACATCATTATGAATGAAGTACTTACACATTTCTTGGACACTATTGATGGTGTTATCTCTAAATTCAGCAATTTTTTCACATTCCATTATATAATGACGCAAAGTATGCGAATAGTTCTGCTGACAGAGTTTACATTTAGTCAAATCTACATCAGCAGATGTTACAAATTCCCAGAGGTACTTGTAGCCGAGCCTAAGCCTAGCAGTGGTAACATCTAGAAGTCTGCTAACATTATTGGATGACCCATAGACGTGCGGTTCTTCCTGCATAATAGAATGATGATAGATGGAGTAACTGGTGTGAATTTCACTTTGCCTCAAGTCTCCGAAATTTCATCTGTTTTTAACAATCCCACATTTCAGTCTTTACAAACCTGCTCACATTTTTTGAAACGATAACCAGCTACCCAGACAAGGGACTTCCGGATGACGTAGTAAACATGGATTTGCTAAAGTCTTTGACAAGGTACCACATGAAAGACTGGGAAAGAAAGTACAGGCACATGAAATAAATGGTAAAAATATTAGAATGAATAAAACAATGGTTGAAAGAAAGAAAAGAGAGTCGTGCTAGTGCAGTTAATGTTTGAGGGGGGAAGGGAACTAACGGGGAAAAGCGCCAAGTCATTACTGCTATATAGCACTTGGAAGGTATAAGGATTTGGGATGGGACGGGGGGAAGGAATGGTACCCAACCACTTGGATGGTCGGGGATCAGAGTCGTACTAAATGAGAACCATTCATAATGTAGAAATGTGGTACGTGGGGGTACCACAAGGGTCCATTTTGGGGCCTACCCTTTTTGTCATATACATCAATGACATAGATGAGAATATTACAAACCACATCATCAAATCTGCAGTTGTTACAAAGATTTATCGTGAAGTGGGAAATTATAATGATAATGATATTGAAGCCTTACAAAAAGATCTACATGAACTCCACAAATGGTCAGAAGACTGGTCAAAATGCTTTTTAAAATCGACAAATGCAAGACCTTGCATGTGGGGCATAACAACCCACGCCACAACTAACAAAGTAATATCATTACATTACAGCAGATTGATGAAGAAAATGACCTTGAGAAAAAATCCACCACTCACTAAAAGTTGCACAACAGGTGGGAGCAGCAGTCAGAAAAGCTAACTAAACCCTTGGAATAATCAAGCATCCCTTTGACTTTAAGGAAAAGAGGGTAATAATTCAACTGTATCCCTGGTAACATCTCTGGTGCGCCCCATTTGGATTACTGTATCCAATCATGGAGACCTCATTTTCAGAAGGACATAGCTGCTCTGGAGAATGTGCAACACCGGGCAACAAAAGTCATTCCAGAGCTAAGTCATCTCTCGTATCAGGAACGGTTGAGGGCCACAGTGTTGGGCTAACCACACTGCAAACCAGACATGACAGAGCGGATCTCATTGAAACTTTTAAAATACTGAACAAGTTAAAAGATGTTGATCCGGACAGTTTCCTTAGAAGGTCAGATGTGACACAAACAAGGAGCAACGGTTTCAAGCAACAGTGTAGGGCTGAAATAGGAGATGCTTTTCACCCACAGGGTTATTAACCCATGGAACCGCCTACCCGGCGAAGCCGTAAATGCCAAAAATCTGTTAAATTTTAAAGTACAACTGGAAAAAATAATCTAGGCAAATGGGATGAGCTTCAACAAGCCGCTGGCTTCCTGTCCTCGTCGAGGCCACAAAGGTTAGTGGCCCTCAAGTAAATCAGGATAAAATCAGGTAATCCTTGTAATACTGCTAAACATTATATAAAAAAAACAAGAAATAGTTATTGAAAATCAACGTCAATGATGGGCTTCCTGTCCTCGTCGTATTTAAGGCCAGCAGACGCTTTACTTCAGGTTTGAGGAAGGGTCCGTCGACACTGTGAAGACCTGCCGTGCTCGTCCAGGACCCACACGCCCTCCTCCAGCCATTCATTGAGATAGTCAACACTCTCTAACTTATGATATTTCCTGAAAAACAAAAATATAATCCGGTAAAATGGTTTAAAGAATAAGTAAATGATTGAAAGTGTATTTACAGTAAATTACAAGAAATTCGTTAAAAAAATTATTATATATATGAACGTTTGACCTAAATCATATATATATATATATATATATATATATATATATATATATATATATATATATCAATGAACTAGTATATATATATATCACTGGTAGAGGAAAACAGATGACACTCACAGCTGATCAGTGTTGCCATAGGTAGAGTTGTCTTCAGAACTACAATAACACTTCCATAGCAAACACACTACCAATAAGACTGTAAGGATTAACAAAGTTTACATTATTATGAATGATAAGTAGTAGTAGTAACGTTATTATCATTATGTATATAATAAATGCATCAAAACTGTCTTAACTGAGAAGATTGTTACATTCATTTTGAATTACAACTCCTGACTCAAGAAGAAAGATGGCGTATCTGTACCAGTTTTAAAAGTAGGCTACGACTTCTTCCCTCCGAGTGTGTATTATTTAATTAATCGTTCCATTTGAGTTCTGTCTTGAGAACAAATAATATATGAAAGCACAGGAAACGACTTCAATGACGCGAAGCCATTTTATTTTACCTATATTTCTTATACATAAATTCCTTGAATTTGACGAGAATGAAACTATCAGGAGAAAGCGCCAAGCCATTACGACTATATAGCATATGTAATGGGTCAGCATGAGGATTTGGGATGGGACGGGGGAAGGAATGGTGCCCAACCACTTGAACGGTCGGGGATTGAACGCCGACCTGCATGAAGTGAAACCGTCGTTCTACCGTCCTGCCCAAGTGGTTGGGCACC